TTTTTAATAATATTTACTTAAGCTTTAAATAATTGCTTAATTTTAGCTAAAAGATATTGGCTGTAAATAAATTGTATTATATAATAATACCTAATTATCGATCTATTTTATAAAAATATCAAACAATTTTTAATATTACATAAAAATATTAATTGTTTTTTAACAATTAAAAATAAACTCATGTTGTTTAAAAACAAAATATTTTAGAATTTATTATAAATAATTCTGTTCTCAAAATAGTTAATAAAATACAAATTTAATAATAATTTTTTAATAATAAATATATTTCTTTATTTACTGTATATTATTATATAATACTTAAATAAAAAATTATATTTACTTAAAAAAAATTTTAACTATAGTATTTTGAATAATAATATAATATTCTAAAAATAAAACTATTTTTAATTAGAGTAATATTGTAAAGTTTATATGTATATGTTGTTATTAAATTAGTCAATATTAATTAAAATTTTAATCCCAATAATTATTGACACACTTTTTAGTATAATTTTTGATAATTAACTTTTCTCTAACATATTCTGAATTTAGCAATGATTTTGATTAAAATTTTTGCGTTAATACTATATAAGATGCGAATTAATTACACAATTGATGGTTAAATACAATATAAAAGTTATTTTATTTTTAGAGCAAAGCATTTATATATTTTTATGAGAAGAAATGTTTTAACGCATCGATACTTTTTGATAATAATATATAAGTTGACTCTCAAAAAGTTGTTCACTTGAGTTGATTTTGACTTAAATTGAAGACTACCATTGAATGCACACCCGCTATGGTTTAGACCCAACAGTGATGTAATGGATGGCGCACTGGTAGACATAATTAATTTTATCGCCGATTTGATYGCTAAGACAGCATTTAAATGAGTAAATGAGTGCAACGGAAGTCCAAAATAGGATTGCAATCAATTGAAAGGCCAGTACTAAAAATGTGACCAAATTGTTACATATAATCGATTAATACAACACATTAGCTAATTCAACCTCAAACCAAATGTTAAACATATACGCCATACCTTCCTATCCTTTACCAGTTAAACACTCAATTATATTAAAATTTTAAAACAAAATAAAGCCATAAATTTACATTTTGACATTTAACTATGTACTGTATTAAATTATACTATATTGAAATAAAATATTATTAAATACTACGGGCATTGCATAAAATTTAATATTATTAAAATATTATTGAATTATTTTACAACTTTATTATACATTTTGCATACAACTATTTAAAATTTAATTAAAGTTATATTAATAATACGAAATGTAAATTTTAAAGAATTTATTAAAATATGTTAATTCAAATTATAATTATCACTGTATTATAAGTTTTTTAAATATAGTTATAATTCTGTTTTTGAAATCTTTTAAAATATTATGACTTAAAATATTGCTATTAATTTAAAAGTGAGTTAAAGAATAAATTGCTAAAAAATATTTTAGAAAATAATAATTTTTTATAATTATTATATAATTTATTATTATATTACAGTACTATACTGTCAAATGCATAAAAGAGTAAATTCAAAAACTTTTTATTAATAAACTGAAATAACAATTTAATATAATTCATTCAAAATAATTATAATATGTAATATAACTTATATTTTACTAATTTAATTTATAATTTTAAATTATAAGATTGTATTATATTATTGTATTGTTAAAATGCAGTATATTGTTAAGTATTTTATTTATATTACAGTGTATTGTATTGTATTATCAATAGATTTGATATATCAGTGGTTATCAAATTATTATACGGTCCCTAATTTTAAAACATATCTTATGAAGTTATGATTAAAATTAAAAACCAAAATTTAATAATACATTTATTATATGACAAAATACTAATCATTTAATTTTTATATTGAGTAATCAAATAAATTACATTATAATAGTAACAATCTATTTGAAATCAAATATATTATAACACACCATAAGTTTTGTAATACATTTTTATCAACAATTTGTCTTTTTTCTACTATTAGAGAACCAGTATATTTACAGTATACTAATTCACATATTATATGAATAATATTAATACWTACAATACAATACATTGTTTTACTAAATGAGTAAAAACAATAAATTAACATTTATTAAACATAAATCGTCAGTAATTTATATAAAAATTATATTTTAAACAAAATAACAATCATTTGATAGACTGAAAATTTGACATAATTTAGTTAACTTATCTATCAATTTTTAAATGTATTTACTTTTGTTAAATGATTTAGAAATATATTAATATATTTATCAATTAATAAAATGTATTAAATATACAGTCACTGAATTTTTATTAAACTGGAATGAAATTATACTATATTTCCAATCTATGTTATTATATGTAAAATACTTAACAAATAGCAGACAATATTGCAAATTTTATTGATAACCTTTGGGGCAAAACAAATAGATTTTCAACAATCGTATTGACAATAAATGCACTTTTGATTTATGAATGTTAGTCGAGTTATACGGTATGTACTGTAGGAACAAACGGTAAATCCTTTCATATCGTGTCTATACTTATATCTCCAGACACTCAGTCATATATTCAAGTAATAAATTTTCGCACAATTTTTTGTATAAATTCAAAATCTCTGCTACTTTTTCTTCATTCAACTGCTGATATAAATTGATATAAATGTAATACAAGAGCATCAGTGGGTCGACGACTACCATCACTAACAATAAAACACAGTCTTCTCTGATAAGAGTTTATTCCGTTTGCAAAGCACTTCATTTTAATTGACAACATCACCACCTGATCCTATCAATGGACAGTTGTCTAACCAATTGAATGTTTACAATATTTATTAGAATATATAGATAATAATTAACAATTATAATTTAAATATTTTTAAAATGTTTATATAGTTATATAAACCATGTTTCTTATACCTAATATTTAATATTATATTTTTTRATTAAATTAAACTTTGGTATCTAAAATGTGCTTTTTAATATTTAAATTGTTGTTTGATGTTTAGTTGTTTATTGGTATATAAATATATTTAGTATTTATTTTTGTAAATAAAACAAATCGTTAAATATTAATAAAATATATAATAATGATATAACTAAGTGTCATGTTTTAACCAAATACTTAACAAATTTGTTGTTTATTTAAAATATACTTTAAGTTTAAACTATTAATTTTAATTGCTATAGCATTTTATTTTATAGTGATTATATTTCTACACTATTTTTAGTACTAATGATATAACTTTTAATAATCCATAATATTTCTGTATAAATAAGTTTATATAAATTATAAGATATAAATTAATTTAATTCTTAAATATAATAATATCTTCTAAAATATTAGTTTAGTTTTTTATTATTTTTTGTTTAGATATTTAGAAATTATAATAAAATATTAAATATATAAATGTATAAATGTATATACAGTAGTATAAATCAGATAAAATGTTAAGAGCCTAAATATCGATAAATATAATAGATGTTTGTTATGATTTTAATATAGTTTTTAATATCAAGTTTTTATATGCTATTTAATTAAAGAAAAATAAATCAATTTTGATACACAAATAACCAAATATCTTTTAGGCAACAAATTGATATATAAATTAATGTATTTAATAAATTACTAAAAAATAAATACATTTAATAAATTTAATTTAATTACTTACTTTTAGGCCAAACTTAGTTAACCGCAATAACTAGCGATATATTGAACACATGTTTCGGAAAGAGATACTATAATATAATACTTTCCTTCATCAGGACTGGCGGTCAACTGAGATATATCTCAGAGCCGTATGTTTACCATTAGTGAGGTTAAGGTGCGATTGGTTCGAGATATGTAGTTATGTATTTATTTAAGTAATTCAATATTTTTGTAAATGTATTATGAAATAAAAATTTTAATGAGAAAATAAAATACTGTATACAATAACATGTGTCCAATATATCGCTAGTGAAAGACAAACCGCTGGTTTTGCGGAATTAAGGCCACAATTATATATTAATTATTAATATAAGTTTATGTTTTCTCATATAATTTAATGTATAATTATTTGTAATATTGATATTTAGTATTTTGAGTATAATGTTAATTTTGATATAAATAGTTGATTTACAACTATTTTTGATATATTAGTTTTAGGTTCAAAAAGTATTGATACTAGTTTTGTATCCGGATCTCAGTTTTGAAAATAGTCGCATAAAATAGCCGTAAATATAATGTTTTACACGTGTTGGCTATAATGGCCCGTTGGCCTAATTATTAATATAATTAATATACTATTAATTTTAATGTATATGTAAATAGTTTAAGTTATAAAACAATTAAAACCTATTGTTCGTGTGTATCATAAGTGGCCACCAATTGCTGGGCAATTGGTTGATAACTATCCGGGACATCACCTACAAAGATAGGTGTGTGCAATGGTAGGACTCGCAAGCTCGCGACTGTCCACATCAGGTTATACCCTTTGTAAGGCCTGGTTACTGAAGTGGGGGACAGTAGTCAGTGTGGATAGAGGCTCCGCGTAAGGCCGAAGTTCCGCAGCGACCCGAATCCCGTCTTACACTAGTTAGTAAGTTTGGCCTAAAAGTAAGTGATTAAATCACATAAATTTATTAAAAATGAGTATCAACTACACAAAATTCAATGATTTAAATACATTTTATTATTATAAAAGTCAATGTTTAAAATTATTTTAATAAAATAAGAATAAAATAAAATGTAACATGTTACACTTATGAATAAATTAATTTTATATATAAATTTAAACACAATTATTTGTTTTAATTAATTATTTTTTAAACAGTATTAGTCTAATTATTACCTATAATATTAATTACATTTTTGTGTTTTAATGATATATTATATACTTTTTTAAATATAATAAAATTTTCCATCTTTCAATTTTATAAATTATTATAAAACTATAAAAATAATATAAATGTTTTTGTCATCGTTTCTAAATCTATTTATTTTCAATTGACTACAATTTTTATTATATTCTATAATAAAAGTAAAATTGTTTTTTAAAAAAAATTGATTTAATGGTTTTAATGATTGGTTTATACAATAACAGTATTATTGTTAGTATTGAGATCATCCAAACTCCTGGTGCCATAACTCGTGATATTTTGTGTGTATATGTCATTGACATCCGTATCGTTAGGTTTATGAATGAGTTTGACCTCAAATGCATAGTTTATAGACGAGCCGTCAAATGATCCGATTTGTGATGAAAACTCAACGGTTAGCGACGGTCCGGAGCTCTCATATATTGTGCCACTGTTTCCGCTCTTTTCAAATCAAATACAAAAGATATAACATTTTTTGTTATTTGTAAATATTTGTTAAAATAAATACTAAAATACAAAGTTTATTATACTATATATTAGACATAACAGAGAAAAACTAAATTTAGAAAACCAAAGAAAAACTTAAGTTTGTTTTGTCATAATTATTGGTATAATAAATGTTATTAAAGTTAAAAGAGAGGAATAAATGATTGAATGACTTACTTGTGGTTTATTCATATCACAGAGTCTTGTAATCAGTTTTGTGTCGTCAGTATCGTTGCCATCATATATGCGGACACTTTCCTCACATAAAGTGATTCTTTCGATGCGAAACCACAAGAATTCCAGTGATATCAACATATTTGGCTCCAAAGTCGTCAACTTATAAACACATGTAGTGTTTGACGGATACCACGACCGTATCGGTGCAAACATATTACCCGCATTACTGTCCAAAAATAGCTGCCTTTCTAACAGACAACTGCCATTTGATAACTGTTTTTACAATTACAACAAAAATTACATTTTCACCATAATTTATAAAACGAAAAAATAGTAATTTTCTAAATATTTTGTTTTTTCAAAACTTTTTCGTTTGCAAATTGTGATACAATGTTATTTCAGTCAATAATATTGATTAATCAACAATAATGGACTACATGTACATTGTGTACAATAAATGTTTAGATTAAAATTTAGTGTCAAAAATCACGAGAGATTGCTATTTGGCAAAACTTATATATAATTTTCATTTATTTTATAAAATGAAATATAATAAACATGAAAAATATTCTATTATATAGTATAAGATGTATAGGTATTAAATAATATAACTATAAATTATATATTTAATATATTGTAAATTGTATGCAATAGACAATGCAAACACAAATACAGTATAATTTATATGATATAAGCATTAGTTATTAAAATAGCTATAATACAGTACTATATTGTTATATGTTATATGTTATCATCTCTCAGTTATAAATTATACACACAATATATTAGAGACAACTGAAAGCCTACTTTGATATATAGTCACAACTATTGCCGTTAGAAACTCTTAGATCTTACTTATAGTGTCAACAGTTTTTGTTAATAATAGGATAACCAAAAATATCAACACAACTGTTAAATCTTAATATTATTTATAGTGGAGAAATATTTATATAAATTATTTATCATCAATAATTTCAACCATTACTGAAATATATTACATGTCTATATATATATATTATTAATAACATTTAGTAATTTAATTATTAATAGATTGGTTCATAAACTCGATTCTCAGATCGTGAGTTCGATACTCGATGTGGTTGTATTGCTTTGTGCAAATACTTATCACAAATACTCATTTACTCTAAATAAAACATTTTTGTATGAAAGACCAGTAAATTGTAGAATAATTTTTATTATTTATTCGAAAATTTATTATTTCTAAACTGTTGGTCACCCTATTTATGATTTATAACATAAACACTATATTATTAATTTTCATGATTGTTATTGTATGAAAACTTATGATTTGTCATTATTTATATAACTTAATTACAAATACCAGTATATATATAATATATATATATATATATTCACGAAATTTTTAATTACAGATCACACGCACATTACAACACTCTATAATAAATATAAAATTCGTGTATAAAGTTTGTAAAGTATTTCTAAATAAAAGTTAATACTTTTAGTGTAAACTTAATTTAAATATAAGTTAGTGAATAAGTAAATATTATAATGTATAATGAATTATAAATAGATGTGTTATAATGTGTTTGTTTTAACATTCAATTTGAATTTCAAACAACAGTTTGCTCTCAAATAAAATAAAAACCATTCAATAGATATTAAAATTTAAGTTTAACTCAATCTTTTAATAGCATTTGTATTTTATTATTGTATTAACTGGTGTTATATCTTATATTATATTAGTATTGCATACCTGTATTGATTGTGAATTTCCCGTATCAATAATAGCATCGGCTTTAAAATGAAAACCAGTGCTCTGTAAAGGACCGGCCGGTGATGTTATAAACTCAACTAACATATTACTTGTTGACGATATAATACTTGATTTAATACGTCCCCTAAAATTGTAGTCATTTTGAATAAAAGTGTTAAAAACTATTAGTAAAGGCTAACACATACTATAACTTAAATGACACTAATATTACTGTAGATTACAATTGCAATGTAAACGGACGCAAGCAATGAGTAGTTATTTAGTAGATTAGCTTTGATTTAATTAATGGCTTACTTTCCACAAAGTGTTGCAATTATTGGACTGTTTTCATCGTCGCCGTCATAAATACGTACAAAATCGTAAAGACAGTCGTTTTGATCGGTACTAACAGGACGTGGAAAACACATTAAGAGGTTATCACACGACTGGCCGTCCACATCAAAACCACTCAACTCTAAGCCAACAAAACTATTTCTAGCGTTCAGGTGGTATCTGTTTAACAATTTTATAAACATTTACAGTAATATCATTATTTAATATACTATATATATATATATTTATATCAAGAATATTCCGGTTCTCTTAAAATACTTCTCGTGTCACTAAAATTGCCAATAATATCATATAAWATTATATAATATTATTGGTAAAACATGTATTTGTTATTTACATTAAGTAGAGTATATATATGCCATATTTAAGCGCAAATAAGAGCATTGAATATGTTTGAAATGTGAGGAAATAAGGCTAGACTTTAATGGACTCTAATATCCTTAAGTATAGAGTCTATACTTTCGACTTAAGTGACAAAAATAATATAACGAGTAAAATGTTTTTTGTTGAATAAGTCTTCAATCTTATACGGCTTAAGCTTTCAAATAATAATTTCATTTACGCTTTTTATAAAATAAAATGTCATACAAACCTACACTTTAAGTTACGCCCATATATTCCAGGATAACCTATATTAGTAAAATAAATATATTTGATATATAATTTAGTATATTATATCAAATTGCAATAAAACAATTACAAAATATATTGATCTAATAATGCTATTGATGAGACGAGACTAATTAAAAAATAAATAAATATAATATTATGCTTATTATTTAAAATGTTAGTGTTGTACAGTATTTCTAGAGTTAATATTGTTTATTTGTATGTATTTTGCATAGTGTATAACAAACCGGGAGATTGTATGATACATCGGGGACCGGGAGAGCAGTCAGGGTATGTCTTTTCACAGTAAGTTCCAGTGACAGCAACACCACGTCTATGAGGATAGAGCTGATGAAAGGGTCCATAACGGCTATAAACTGCATTTTGTTGTTCAACATTGACATCAAATTGAATGAAGCTATCGCTCTGGTAGTCGTCGACATGAAGTATAACCTTAACATAAGGTGTCTCTGAGTTGAATATCTTTGGAGTATCGATCTCTCCACAAAAGTATCCTATCGTTGACAGAAATGCCATTTATATTAAGATAAATAACACTATTAGCATATATTTGAATAAATTTCTGGTAAAAACAGAGTACTTTCTTATACTAATACTGTATAAGCTTTATAAAAGTATTTCAAGTAATTTACAAAATAAAGTGTTTATATTGAGAGAAGTGTTTGATTCTCACCGGAATTATCTTTATTTGAATAATTAGATTCTCGATATCCGTCCACTATCTGCACATATCCGTCGATGCATTTTTGTCTATCATTACTGGGTTCGCCTACTTTAAAGCGAGTGAACCGAACCGATACAATCCAATCATCTCTCGGAGGTCGCGGACGTATCCGATAAGTACAGTGCAATGGTTTTCCTCGATTGGCTTCTGTGACCACTGGAGAAGACACCGTTTGAAATGTCTCAACAGTTCGGTTACAACGATCTAAATCTAATGTTAAATCATTCAAATATTAAGTTTTATTTCTTATCAATGAATCTATTTATATAATATCATATTTAAATTCATTGTAAATAATATAAATATATAATCTAATAAGTATTTTCCTATCACTTACCACTAGATTCAGATGTGGCCAAACAGTTTGAAATTATATTCAATGAGATGACAATTGAAAAGATATGCTTCACTAATGCATATCTATTAGTGTCTATCAATGCATTCAATGAATTATTACTTTTCCAACACATTATTCTTTATTGACTTTATTATTAAAAAAGTTTTTTGTCGTGAATTTACAAAAAAAAAGTTTTTATTGAAATGGATATTATTATAGCTAAATGTATATTTTGAGTGCATAGATAGGCGCTATCGTTATCTTAGAGTTTAGATAGTTTCACAAGACATGTGATGCTGTGATGTTGTGCTATGACTTTTCTAAATGAAGGCCAGCATCACATAGGGAGGGCTGATAAGCAATGAGAGAGCGCCGGGAGTTAACTAAAAATCAATGAATCACATACTTTTGGGCTCAAATAGTGGAGTTATTGTGATTACTGTGATTTTTTCGATCTTATAATTATCTTTAAATTTTACATAGTTTTACTAAAAAAATATTCATTGATAAGTTTAGTATTTTTTATTTTTTTTAAATAGATTATAATATAAAAATTAATAAACAATGCAATAATTTTATGCATAATATCTAATATTTATAAAATATATTTATATTTATGATATATACCGATAGTTATATTTACATAATTATAAGGTAACAATTTATATTAAATATATATATATAGTAATCAATATAATAGTTTTATCAAATATCTACAATAACGTAATAAAAAATACAGTTATTATTAAGCGCTATAATTATAAGGACATAACTGGGAAACGGCTGAATCTTCGTACTGAGAGGTGAACAATACGTCTCGAAATTTGTCGATTAATGTCAATAACTGTCCTCTTTTAACATTTTCGTAATACATTATATCTTCTAAATGATGTCTACCATTAAAATATGGACATAACTTTATAAACAACTTTAGGTCTTCAATATTTTTCGAAGCAGAAACACGAAGTATAGATTCAATTTCGGACTGTGAAAGTCCAATGACTCGAAGTAAAGCAGTTCCAGATTCCTCTATCATTGAGGAAGAAAACTTTGGAGACGACAAATCTTCTTCAGAAGCACTTGAGTGTTGAAAGTTTGTGCCAATGGCTGGACTGGTAGCCAATGAGTCTTCACTGGGAAATGAACTGCCAGTGCTATAGTCAATGCCGTCCATATCGCCTGTTAGGGCACTGTTTGGTCGATCAGAATGTGATTGTGATACTCGTTGTGTTAAGTAAGGCGTCGATTGCGAGAGAGGAACCAAATAGACATATGTGTGGAGTTGTTGAAGCATTCGGTGTTTCAAAAGCCAGACAACAATTTGCACCTAAAATGCAGTCAAAGGATAGTTATATATCATTAAACAAATTTATAATTTTTTAATAATTTAATAAATAATTATAATAATTACTATAAGAATACCTGTAATACTTGTTGATATTGAGAATCCATTGGATTCCTTAATTGACTTAATGACATACTTAATGAAAATTTGGATAAATACTTGAGTAGTCCATCACTTCCAGGAAATTTTTCATCAAATTCGTCGACGAGTGGAGAATCAACATTAGTCGGCGCCAATGGATGTATTGTATAGACATTATTCTCACACAAAGGGTAGACAACTGTGGCTTTGGCCCAATAGACCAGTTGTGCCACAATATGAAATACTTGGCTCAATGTAATATCCGCATCAGCCGACAGTTCCAACAAATTTTTGATGGGATTTGCAAATTTGACAATTCGTGTGAAAGCTGGTGACACGTCTTGAGGTAATGAATCCAAGAGCTCTTGTGATTCAACCAAAAGTAATATCGCATGATATGGTCGTAAGGCTTGCAGACAATCAATAATATTTTGTGGTGTTATTGGAGGCATCTTTGAGTGATGTTTAAGAAGAAGTCGATGAACTTTTTGTGGTAAACAAAAACTTATTTCAATCCATCGGTTGAGTCGAACCCTCACGAGTCCAGTTGTCAACAAATTTTCATAAACGGTTTTCAAGTCTTTGGCCAATCGACTCTTTAGTAAAATCAATTTATAGGGTGACTCTTCATGCATAGTGTCCTCTGTCATAGCGGTCACTTCATCATGAAGTGCAACCATTAGTTTAGTTTCACAACTCAAATATCCGCAGCGATTCTCTTCATAATGAAGACCAATAGCTATCTTTTGGCTCAACTCGTGATAACAGTTAACGATATCATGACTAGCGTTGGCTTTCAAAGCAAAGACCACATTAAATATTAAAAGTTCTTTCTGTCCGCGAGTCAGAAGCATTGGATGACCAACAAAGCGGATGTCATTGACTTTCAGTTCAAACTTTTGACCGCAAAGTTTACTGTTAACAGCAAAGAGATTGGAGAACGAGATGTCTGTAATACCAATCACTTTAGCAATGGTCTCATCAGTCGATGTATTATTTATTTGTGATGATATTGAAGAAGTGAGATCAGAGTATGAGATTGTTTGTGACTCTTTGCCCATTGGTTTATATAATGAGTTGTCGAGTCTGTCCGTATTGAAAGTGTCTTCATTGATGATAATGGCGTACTTGTTCTGCTTGTTTATTAACTCATTGAGTTGACCATCGATGGTATACGGATATCGAAACAATAGTTTATCTTCTTTGCTGTCACTCTTGACAAGAAACACACCGAGAGGTGAGGACTCGTCATCTTTGACTGAACTCATGTCCGCATCACTCGACATATCAACAAATATTGCATTTATTTCGTTAAAACATTTAACAAAACAATCAATATTTACATTAAATGCCAAACCGTTGTCATAGATACCTGTATTTGTAGATATCATCAGCCAATCACAGCACTCAATGACACACATATGTTGTCTTAAAACTAATTTTATATATATTTTTAAATAATAATAATTTTTAAGTTTTAWTAATAATTTATTTCAATTCAAATCGTGATTAAATAAATTTTCATAAATTTAAAATACAAACAAAACAATTGTATAAATCAAGTTACTATACAGTAGTAAATAAACTATAGACTAAACTATGGATATTAATGATTAATCCCTATTATGTTTAATACAATTATTTGGCAAAGAATGCATTTGAATATATCTGAGAGCTGTTAATATCGATGAAAGACAATATCCTTCTTCACCTAAAAGATATTTCTGTTGAATCATCTCTTCGATAGCAAAAAATTCGGAAATAAGTTGCGGTAAACAACATCTCATGACAACTATACACAAAGCAGGGATCAAATCATCGGCAGACACTTCTGTTGATACGTTTGAAGTAGATTTCAATTTTGAACACAAATTTTGAGTCAATATAACCAATGACTTGAGTTTCTCGAAGGGAGACTTCAATTGAAGGACTTGTGTTAATGCCTGAGCCGACTCCTCAAACAATTCACTGTCATATTCAGTGGTGAGATCAGCATTTAATTCATTACATGACTCCAACCGATGAATTCCTTCATTGAATTCAACCTCTTGTTTGTGAAACACAATCCGAAATAAATATTTAAATGCCGACCAAATGGAAGGATAAATATATTGAGAGACAATTGAGTGAACACAAGAATGCTGTTCGCGGAAGACATCATAATTACATGGTTTGTAATATAACTGATTGTCAAATAAAACTAAAGTTAACATCAATGTAATGGTTTCGTGTGATAATGAGATATCGCTTGTGATGTTATTGAAGTGTCGAATCAGTGCTTCAGACTCGACATCACTTATTTCAATATCCATGTTCTCCAAGTTGTCGCCATTACTTATCAAAGATAATGATTGCTGCGATATTTGGTCATCATTTACATCATTGGATCGATACTTTAGATATTGTCGAAGTAATGGATTTATTATGTGAACAATTTGTACCTGAAATTTATGAATCCATTGAGTTAATGGATGTTCTTTACAGTTAACAACTTTTGCGATGATTTCAGTGATAGTATTTTTATCGATGTCGAGACTTTGACACCGAAATTGTTTGCTTAGATCTATATGTTTAGCCTCAAAGTCAAGTATCTGAGCATAAAGTTGTTGTTGACTTTGATTGTCCACAATCATCGATTCGTTGTCAATGTTGAGAACATTTTGTTGTTGAAGTAGTTTTTTTGCGGCCAATTCCAGAGATTTTCGTTGATTCAAATGCATTGAATGATACAACTCTTTGTCCTTATTCTTAGCCAACTCTATGTTCTCAATGATTCTTCTCTGAAGTTCTAACTTAAGTGAAGCTCTTTTGTAGGGATCTATTGTTGTCCGCAAACGACTTTCACATATCTTACTTATAACTGCATTATCTTTGTATGCCTTTTGAACATTTGGTGATGTATTCAAATCAAATGAATCCAAATAATTATTATCATCTTTTGATAGCCTCTTATTGGGAGATAATTGTTCATCGATTGAATAATCACTTAATTGTTTGACCAAATCATCACTTGATTTATTTAAATCAAATACATCGTTGTTATTGTTGGCAGTGATAGTGTTGTTATTATTATTATTATTGCAATAATTGGCAATCGTTTCAAGTCTTTCAATACAATTCTTCAGTGTATTGACACCACTAACCAGTTTATAATTTATGTCTTTAGTGCCAATAGTGTCCAAATGGTTGTCGGCTTCAGTCTTGAGATACAGTGTCAGCGCGTGTATGCCATCCAAGTACGTGATAAACGCGTGTCCATAGTTTGAGTCACAATCCAATTGTTGTGCGCTTACTATCAATGAATAAAAGTCACGCTTTGTTGACATCAATGAAGTCATAACATGTGCTTTCAATTTGACATTAGTCTCACTTTTCAAGTGATGACAATTTGACACAAACTTGTTATTTGTTTACCAATAGTTTGTCAACAATAACAACAATACGCATAAAATAACTGTAAAATCAAATACATTAACATTATATTAATACAGTTTTTAAAGCCATTTGATTGACAATTATTTTGAATATCAATACAATTACAGTCAATATCGACATCATATGTAAAGTCATATGAATTCCCCGAACACTGTATTCAATGTATTATTTGTTTGCATTTCAATACATTATTTGCGTTCAAAGCTTTGCTGAGTATATATGTTGTGAATCACGTGACCAATCAATTGACACAAACTCAGTATAAGTGTTGATAAAAAATACAGTTTTGTTATGATTTCATTAAAATTTAACTAATTTTTTATCATTTTTGGTAAATATCTATTGAATTAATTGTTTTAATTGAATTGATTGACTAAATTGTTGACTAAATTTTGAGTTAAATGTAAGTTTATTTATAAAATGATTGAATTTTATTGAAATGAAAGTAATTAAGTTTTGATTGAAATGATTGTGAGAAACGCCCACTAAATTGAATTTTAATGATATTTTGGATGTATTTTAGTTAAACACGTTTTGGTCTGAACTGTGGTGCGATGTCTGGTCACGAATATTGGTTGATATCAGCTCCGGGAGAGAAGACATGCCAACAGACGTGGGAATCATTGAACGCCACGACTGGTCGTCACTCAGATCTTTGCAAGAATTATAAGTTTCATATTCCAGACCTAAAAGTCGGTACTTTAGATCAATTGGTTGGTCTATCGGATGACTTAAACAAATTGGACACATTTGTAGAGGTGGTCTGTCGCAAACTGGCCGGTTCTATAGCTGATACTCTCGATAATAAAGACAAGAATCAGCAACAACTCAGTGAACACATACAGGCAAATGGTGTCGATTTGGGTCAATATGTGACCAAATTTCAGTGGGATTTAGCAAAATATCCGATAAAACAATCGCTTAAGTCTTTACAGGACATCATAAGCAAACAGATCGGACAAATCGATACCGATATGAAGGCAAAGACATCTTCTTATAATAATCTTAGAGGAAATCTTCAGTCATTAGAGCGCAAACAAACTGGTTCTCTATTAGTCCGTAATTTAAGCGAATTAGTCAAACGCGAGAACTTTGTGTTGGGATCGGAATACTTGAGCACATTGTTGGTCGTCGTCCCGAAGGCTTTCTTTAAAGATTGGCAATTAAAATATGAAAAGTTAACAGATATGATAGTTCCGCGCTCTTCAAACTTGATCTTCGAGGACAACGATCACGGATTGTTTACGGTTACGCTCTTCAATAAAGTGGTCGATGAGTTCAAAGCACACGCCAGAGAAAATCGATTCATTGTTCGTGAATTCCAATACAACGAAGAAGATATCACTGCAGGAAAAAATGAAATGACAAAACTGGAGAGCGATTTGAAACGTCAGTATCAGATACTCTTACGATGGCTTAAAGTGAACTTTAGTGAAGCATTTATTGCATGGATTCACGTCAAAGCATTGCGTCTATTCGTTGAATCTGTCCTTCGTTATGGACTTCCCGTAAATTTTCTGTCGGTTCTCATACATCCCAACAAACGAATGCAACGTAGACTTAGAGATGTATTGAATCAATTATACGCCCATTTGGATACATCCATATCTCAAGGACCTATTGATGACATTCCGGGCCTCAATCTTGGCTCTCAAGAGTACTATCCATATGTTTACTTTAAAGTCAGTACTGATATGTTTGGGACACAAACTGTTTAAAAATAGTAGCTTAACATAAGGTAAGCTTATATTGTGTGTGTTATTCAATGAATAATATCATTATAATTGGGACAAAACATATAAACCAGTATTGATTGATATTACATATATATTATATTTTAAATTTAATCTAGAATTCATTTTAGTTTTTTAAGTTTCAATATTTTTTCTTATTGTAAATCAATGGTAATTTAAACAAAGAATATGTAAATTATATCCAGAGTTTAGATTTTATTTAATAATATAAATCTGTTATCAAATGTTAATAAATTAATGTTTAAATTAAATGAATAAATAAAATAATCGATCTATAAATTGAAATGAAAAATCCATATTACTGTAATAATTAGATGTATTTATATACACATACCGTAACTTTATTTAAATGTTTAATTTATATACATATTTTTATAATAGTCAATAGAAATGAGTTTTAAAATGATAATATTTTAAATGTCATACATATGAGCATAAACTTGTTGACTCAATCGTATATATTCATCCCTTTCCTCATCAGTCATTTGTGATATGATTTCATCATTGACTTCACTCAATGGTATCGTTTGATTACCGACAATGATTATCGGCTGTTGATTATCATTGTCTTCTTCTTCCTCTTCGCTCATAATTTCTTCTTCATTATTGTCAATATTATTGTTATAGCTATTCGTTAAATGATTTGTTGTTTCATTTAATAGCATAGAAACCGCTGAAGAGTTATTATTTTCAGTTTTCTCGTGAATCAAAAGTGTTTCCAAAATCTCTTTTGACGGCTCGTTGTTTTCAAAACTATTAGTTTGGATTAAATTTGACATCGATTTTGATGAAAATTTGTTTGAAGTTTTTGATGTTGTGCTAATTGTTATGGATGTGTCGTTATTTGAGTTTAAATTAATGGTATTATTGATATTAGAGACAGTGCTCTCTAACATCCACGAAGGCTGTTCTTTCTTAGCCCGAACCAAATGCTGGTCAGCGCTACCATTAGCCTCATCGGTATTTGAGTCTTCAATCTTAACCATATAGTTTTTGTGGTCATTGAGTACAGAGTTTTCATATTCACTATTAATGGCTCTGTTTTTATCTGTCCATTGTCTGCCAGCCATTGAGTTATTTGAATTGTTATTTTGCGTTTGAGGACCCGATTCACTGGACACTTGTATTTCGGGTTCGAGCAAATCGTTCGATAAACGTATATCTTCGACATCTTTAAGCAGAAGCCAAAGCGGTTCCATAGTTTGATTGAATTTTGCCACCAATAACCTCGAGTCGGCTTTTGGCATATGATTTGGATCTTCTTTGACTTCTCCCACACAATAGGAACATCTATTAAGACATTAATAAAATGAGTGAAACACACAATATTTGTCAGTCAGACCTCATATCGCCTGTCATTGGATCCAATAGTTGATCCACTTCTAGATCAGTGAATGTTTTATGACAGTCATCACAAACAAATGAAGCTCTGGCCGTGAGATCCCTTTCCTCTAACTCTAACTTTTTCCTCATGTGATCCAACTTATACTTAACGACATTAACGAAAGCCTTGAAATTAATATAATAATAGTTATGTCTATTGGCTTTGCCGTCGGTCGCCGTTTCGATCTTCAGTTTCTTTTTTGTCAGTTTATCCTTTTCAAGTGCGGCCAACACTGACCTCAACTGTTTCCTCTCAAACTTCAATAATTCAATGATATCGTCCTCTTTGATCAATCTCTTCCTCAACAACAGGTCAACAACAATCACGTGGTCTATCGGGTAAAAGCCACGCATCACGCGCTGAACCAAATGCTTCAAACTTCGCGGGATATCCACAGACATTGTATGTCTTGGTTGATGTCATCGGCGGTCAACAAAACACTTCAATTGACATCACTTTAAATGCTTTCAATTGAATCAATACAAACATCACTTTATTTGAGTTGACATTTAAATTATCATCAAATATATCAACAAAATTACCAATACTTCACAAATTACGTTATATTAAACTATAATATAATAAACTTATAGTTAAAGTACAGTATTAACAACTTTTTATATTAATTTAGTTATAGATTTAATTTCAATTTTATTTTATTCAAAATAAATTTTTTATTTTTCACACGTTTTGTCATATAAAATATTTAGATATTTAAATTATAATAATTTTATTTAATAAACAAAAACTTATTTTGAAAAAATAATAAAAATAGTAAATACTCTACAATACAGTACAATGTTTTAAAAGAATCATCAATGCATTCATTAAACAATTAGCGATTTATTTATTTTTTATAAATATTCTATTATTTATATTTAAATTAAAATAATATACAATAGAATTATTTATATATCGGATAATGATTTATATAAATTAATAATATGGTAATCATAAAAACAATTGTTTATCCTTTTAATTTTATGTTAATTCAAATATTATATATTTTTTATTATGTTTATATAACCCAATTTATAAAATAATTTTTTCAGAGTTTAACATATAGAAAAAATTATAAATAACTAATTATTTCATTATACAGTATTGCATAATAATTGTCAAACTTTTTACTTCATAATAACAAATTATATTAGATATCAAAATATTATCTAAACTACAGTAGAATTTTAAAAAATTTATTCAATAAAATTTTTAAGTTTACTTAATTTAATAGAAATGAGATTTAAAACAAACATGAAATTGAAATATTATATAATTTATTATGTTATTTAAATGATTTAAATAATTATTTTTTTTTTTTGTAATTTTAATAAATATCAATTTTTAATATGCCTATTATAAATAAAAGTTAATAAATTACTTATCACATTAACATAATTAACTGAATAAACACATTACTCATTAATACAATACATTACTATAGAAATGAGAAATAAATTAAAATATAATGTATTTAATATACAATATTTAAAACATATAATATTTAAGTCATACAATATGTATAACTTTAAAACTTTCATAACTCTATAATTAATCATTATATGAAATCATTATATTTATGTATTACTATTTGAAAGTTATATTATATTATTAAAAATTATTATTACTATATTGGTATTACCATATGGTTATTAATACAGTATACTGTACTATCAATATATCATATAAAGTCCAATTCAAATTTATTCAAAATATTTACACAATTAAGTAAAAATTAATGGTTTGTATCAAATATAGACATTTGGTGTAAAAACAGTAGTTTTGTTGACTGTATTATACATTTGACTGTATCTATGGGTGCTATCAAAACATATGTATCGCTTCCTAATAATTATTGACGCAAAAGCATTGAATCATTTGTTTTATCGATAGTTATATTATTGTATATAATGTATACTATTATCATATGAGTGAATGTAGTGAACGTTTAGTTCATTAAACCATTTCATTCATTAAATGTATGTTTGAATTGAATATAGTATTGAGTGAGTGGTCGACAAAACAGGTGATGAATATTAGCATTGATTACAATGTTGTCTATAATGAGAACATTATTCTTATATATAAATACTCTTTATATTGAATAGCATTCATAGTATTGATTGTTAGACACATTGAGACCAATGTATAGAACTATTGTATGCATTGTATGTCTGCACTCACTATCAACACAATGTCTAACCCATTGATGATATGATAAACTGATTGATCTTTTTGTTTGTTTTAAACATTAGATCCAATTGCTTGAGTTGATCCCAAATCACCATATTTTACATCATATGTGGTTTGTGGCAAAATAGGCGTTGCATTTGATGGACAAACCAGTTGTGACTGACCTTAACATTCAAAACAGGTATTTATTAACTCATTTGATTCAATGTATTAGTCATTGATTTGAATATTAAAATATAAGTAATAATTAATTTAAAAAAGTTATTAAATGATTAAATGATTAAACAATTAAATGGCTATCAATTGAGTGACTTATGTGTTAAAAGTCATTCAAATGTTATTGTTTTGGTAATGCATTTGAAGAGCAAATGAAATTGATTTTTAACGACGAGTTCAATGTCTTTGATCTCATATATATAGCAAACACAACACAATCCATCAGTGAATGCATTGTCGCCAACAATAAGACAACTGATCCGTGACTGTAAAGCCAACAAACATTAGATGCAAAGCTTAAACCATTGATGAAGGAGTGGTCGCACTAAACCATATGAAACTCACTTTCTTTATCATTGTCTGACATTTGAGTGATAACTGTTAGACAAATGTCTTCAACCAAAACCTATTGTCTTTCAATTGTGTCGATTACGACATTAAGATTATTACTATTGATTTCACTGCCAGTATCTGGAGGTTCGACGCCGTGGATCAATAAACCATGGATTACCAGTCAAACATCTAATGAACAAAATATGGATCAAATAAACTTTATTTCTCCACAACAAAGTCTCAGTCAAAGTCAATGGCATTCAGCCATTCCTGTCTTCAATGGTAAAGGTATGGATCATCTGTATCTGATTACTGAATATGTGGTCAATTTTTTGCAACCTCATGGACTTCCGGACAATATTATCAAAGAGGAACTGTTAGACGATCCCATTCCTATTCTTCAGGAAAATAAGGGAAAGGTATGACTTGACTATGAATGGCAATAAACTTAGCATTTAATGTAAAATATTTTATCTTAACTTTTAGTTAATATCACACTTTTGGGGACTTATCTTAACAGCGATTGTGATAATAAGTGTTGCTATAGTATTACCATTGATCGGATGCTTTTGTTGTTGTTGCTGTTCATCAGATAACAACTCGAGACGTGCCAAACATAGTCGCAACTATAGCTCTTCATCTTCAAGCTCTCCACAAATAAGAAGAGGACACCGAAAGAAACGCTATAAAGTTGACCGAACGTGTGATCCTTGTGTCCGAAGTCTTAGTGCTGTCAAACTGTTTGTTCTGCTTTTATTGCTTTCATTTTTTGTCATCTGTGCCTTCGTTACCAATGAATACATCAGAACAGGAGTTCATAAGTTGCCAAAAGCTTTAAACCAAACAACCGATGATATGATGCTATATCTGAATAATACCCAAATAGAAGTCAATACACTCTTGCGAACAAATTACGATCAATTGGCTAAACTATTGGGAGATAAACTGGACAGAAGTGGTGTCATTGTTAAGGATAAAATGGCTGTTCTCTCGGAAGCCGTCGCTCTTAACAATCTGACAGATATAGCCTCGAGTATGTTATCATAATAATTAGTTTTAAATATTTATAATTTTAATTGATTTATCTTTTAAATATAGATTTAAAACTAATTTTGAATGATTTGAAAACACTATCAACCGAAACAAATGAACTTCGATTACTTACCGTTCAATTACAGTCACGACTTAGCCGATCCAGAAATGTAATATTTTATTGTTTAGTTATATACTGTTTAAAATACTGCTATATTATATAGTTATATAGTTAAATGTTAACATTAAACTTAATTATATACTGTATATCTGTATATTTTTAGGATTTAGAGCAATTTCTAGATCACTGTCGAGATAAAATATGCTCTGATTTACGCTATAAATATAATAGAGTTTTATCAACATTTGTGGTCACTTCACGTATCGATGAATTACCCGATTTGTCTCATCTGATGAATAACATCAGTCGTATATTAGATGCTAATATTGTTGAAGAAATCAGAAAAGGAAAGCAATCGTTTGATGAAATAAGCTATAAATTACAGTCTACTGTCAACAATACAATACCTGATATTAAAAGACAAATATATTTGGTTGGATTAGAGTTGAGTGGTGTCGCCGATGATATCAACTATGTTTTGAGGCGTCCTTTTGTCGACTTAAATAATGTCAAATCAAATGTTTATTTAGGAGAACAATACATCAATAAATATGAAATATACTGGTATTTATTGAATATATTAATTTTATTGTTGTTTTCCAATAATTTTACCCATTATTTGCTGATTATACTGTATTTATTGTTTAGTTGGTATGCATTTTTATTGGGCACTTCAATATTGTTCATAATACTCATGTTTTACTCATTTGGATTGTTATGTGGTTCCTGTAAAGAACAGCCTACTCGGCATAACTACAAATGGCGCTCAAAATCTTCGACCCGACTGTTTCGCTGTGGACTAACTATATTTATGTTAACATTTTTGCCATTAGTATTCTCATCAATTGTTTTGTTTCTAATGGGAAGTATTTCCGATAAGACTGTCTGCTATTATTTGGAAAACCCTTCAGATCCTCAAAGCAAACAAATTGCAGACATTATTCAGAATCGCTTTGAAAAACTTCATTACTCGGAATCTTTTAATGTTATTCAAGGCGTGAAACCAAACTTCGCTGATGTAATAACACGATGTCATCAGAATCTCAGTCTCTTTAATGTCTTGCAATTGAATCGATTCAATGAAATCCAAATAAATGGCAGAATTGCATCCAATATTAATATTTCAGAAATTTTACAATTTAAAGATGTAATATTATTTTATTACTACAGTATTAACTATTGATAACTATTTGAATTTTATTTGTTTAGCGATACAAAATTGATGATAAACTACAAGCTTTTCTCAGTCGGGTTAATGTCAACCCATCTAATGTTCAACTAATGACAAGAGATGGCTATCAATTGCTTCAAGAATTAAAAGAAACTTCATTAGGAACTCTTAATTTTTCCAGTTATGCTAATGTTATCAAACATAGTATTACTCCATTGGATTTGGTGGCCATTTCTAATGAGTTGGAACAGGAGGCTAACAAACTTCCAAAACAAGATTACGAAAATGTGGCGAAATTAAGAAACATTGCAATGGATTTGAAAATCCCTATCAATTTAGTTATTAAAATTAAAGAAACGATAGTATGTATTGAAATATAAAGCTTTATAATTACCGTAAATAAAGTTAAAATTATGTTTGTTTTTAGGATACATTAACGCTTAGCGCAGAAAAGATTGAAAAGAAGTCTATTTATGGAAATATAGGTGTGAGAGATGTGGTGACAATACTATTGCGTCAATTAGAGTCAGCACAAGATTTTATCGCAACCAGAGGTCGAAATGAAATCCGAGATTTGGCCGCAAATCTAACCCGTAATATGAGCTTTCGTATCGATCAATACGCAAACCATGTTATTGATAAAGTATATTATATTTGAATGAATTATTGTTAATAATTTTCTAATTAAGTTATTGTTTTGTATTAAAGATGCAAACATCGATTGGTCGGTGCGAACCAGTCAGTCGGGCCATCAATTCATCTGTAATGGCGTTATGTAAAGAAACAGTTCTTCCTTTTGTTAGTATTTTTTATTTATTAAACAATTGAAATGATATTAATATATTATTTTTAATGTATTAACAGAATGGCTATTGGTTTTCAATGTTGTCGTCTTTAGTTATATTATTTCCATCGACTTTCTTCTCATACATTCTCTCGCATTTATACCAAAGAGTCAAACGATTTTCAATACGAAGAGAATCGTATGTTTTAAATATTTTTTGTTGTATTGACTGTTGACTACATTTAAATTATTTTCAATAAAATATTTAGTGATTCAACTCTTGACAATTTAGAAGAGGACGACATACCACTCGCTCAGTAATTTTCATTTACTTTTTAAATATTTAACTTAAATTAATTGTGAAAATCGTTTATTTTTCTAAAGTCTTGATAATAAAAGTCATTCTGAAGGTCGAGGAGGTCCGGCTCCCAGTGCGCCCCCAAATAGGACACCAGATGATGACAACTGGTCTCCCGGATCACTACCGCCACATCTCTATGGCTCGAGGCCTCCTCCATATAATTTTGTTAATTAATTTCATCAGTTATTCTAATTATCAATATTATTATTTTTATATTATTTACAATACCTTTACAGTATTTTTATTTAATTTTTTATGTTTTTTAATTTATAAAAAAAATATTTTTAGTTTCAATTATATTTAGAAAAGTTTATGAATAGATGAGTCGTTTCATTTAAATTTCCAATATTTGCATAATTATAATGAATATAATAATAATATTGAAAAGATTGGCATTTCTCCAAATGTTATTAGTTTGGCAATAGTTGAAGGAATTTAAGGCAAATATTTATAATTAACTATTGAAGAGATGGTAACGAATTTAATTTATTTAATGAAATGTGGGCTCAATTTTGTCGAAATTTACTTATGATCTCTTTTAAGGGAACACTTTAAAGCCAATTATAGCCATTAATAGGTTCTCTCTATATATATATATATACTCTTATATTTGCAACATTATATTGTTAACAAATAATTATTATTATTAGATGATTGTCTCTTATATTTATTCACATTTTTCAAAGACAAATATATAGTGCAATATATATATAATTTGATTGATAAATACATCTGATTTTAAACTGTCATTTCATTGATTTTATAAAATATATTCTAAATATATATAAAATATAAATTACAAATATATTGTCAAAATTTTACAAACGATGTGCCTTTAAGTCTAGACTTTAGTTCAATATAAAAAATATACTTTTTATTATAACATATATTCTATTATTCATAAAAATTAATTGTAAAATAGTATTTAATATATTATTATAAATGTAAAATTTTGAACTATAAATAAATAAGATTTTATTGAAAATATTTTTGTTTTTCCGTTTTAATTAAAATTGAGTCATTTTACACACATATAGTCAATTGACATTTAAAAATAAATTAAAAACCGGGTATTTATACAATCCATAAACACTAGCATAAAATGATTACTATATTTAAAATAAGATAAATATAATAATAAAATACATTTTAGTTAATAATAGTTCATTTGATTTATTTTTAAACGAATATAAAGCCAATTATACAGATTTATATTATAATTCTCACAATTCATATCTAAATTGCAAATTAGGTAATAAAAGCAATAGTTTTAAATATTTATAATATCTATTTTTATGTAATTTAATTTGTTTTAAATAAATACATTATTTGTGATCACAAAATGAATCTATTTAAATTATTAGTCACAAAAAATCATTTTTATATAAATCTCAAACATTTTGTTTATATTAATTAATTATTTTTGGTAATATTTTTTTGTGATCAACATTTAAATAGGTTCCTAATATATATATTAAATATATTAATTATCTATTAATTTTTACAAAATTTATTGGACTAAAAAATGACTTAAAATTATATTTATATTAAATTTATCATAACTTGATTTTATACAATGAAAAAATATTTATAATAATTATTATTATATTATTTTTGTGCCAAAAATGATTTTCTATCGTACAAAAGGGTTCATATAATTTATACATATAATGAATAAGCGCTGTATAAACACATTCATATTAATTAATTGATTGACAATTTAATCCCAATTCATATCATTTACAATAAGTTCACTCAATATAAAAATAATGGAGTTTTTACATAAATTGGTAAACATTATTATCAATTGTTTATTAGATAATATCTTTTGATTTGTTATATTTGTATCTAAAAAACAATATTTGTATAATATATGTATTTGTATTACATTATGTCAAAGCATTTGAACTAAATATAATGCAAAACTCCATTAGATATATGATATAACTCTGTGAGCAATGCCAGGCCATATCTTTCATTTTCATTTTCAATCTTAAAATTACAAATTTAATCACAAATACAGTTATTTCATAATATTATCAAATGGTTACATCAATTCTCATTTTCATCAAATATGCTAAAATGTAGCTTAAATTGAATTGTATATTATATTGCTTAAAATATAATCAAAATACTGTATATATGTATATAAATATCGTTAATATTTTAACATAAAACATGATAATTGCTAAACACAGGAACTGCGATAATATTTATTTCAAAATTATTATATTTAAATAAAAAAATTTAAAACGTTTAAATTAAGCTAAAATATCACATAATAAAAAATATTAAAATAATATATAATTGTTCATGCTAAATTAACTTCAAACATATCAAACATTTTGAATTGAATTCAAAATTAATAGTAAAATCAAACTCAAGAATAGTTGCATTTTTGAAGGCTAATTGACGTCAATATAATAAACATATAACACATCCATAGTTTATATTAAATCTAACATTAGATGTCTTTCAAAAGTTAAATAACTGCCACTTCGGGTCTGGTATTTGGTATTTGGCTTAACATAAAGTCTTTTGTGTATAAAACAAAAATAAACTAAAAATATATTTAAATAATGTTATCTTATAATAAATACAGTATTTTGTAGTAGAGTTTGATAGATTTGGAGGAAATTGTTTTTTGGAGAAATATTAACAGATAATTAAGTTTTAGATAATAAATCTATGAAAAACTTATTTATAACATTTTTTATATTGTGTACATCAATAATCAATAGTAAATTATATAACATAATTTCAAATTATATAAATTTTTTTGGGACACAAGTGATCTTTATATTATAAAGTTTGCCAAATAATTGCTTTAAAATGTCGATAACTATAAAACACTTATTAAAGGCAAACAACTCAACAAATGATTAAATGATTAATATTTTTTGGTGAAAATGTTTGGATGAGTAACGGTATGTCTTTAGCATTAATCACTTCAACAATTGTACACAATATTAGTGATATCTTTATAAAAAACAATCGTTTAAATGGCATTTGACTAGTAATTTGTCAATTTTTTAGATTACTAAGCGATTAAAAAGGCATTTCAAATATTTTTTCGCATTTAAACAGTTTTGTAATAATAATAATGCATTTGTGTAGTTTAGAGCGCAGGTATGCTATGATACCAGGTTTTAAAAATGATTGATATTTCTAACAAATTAATTAAATACAATAATTATTATAATTATAATAATATAATAATAACAACAATAATGATGATTCAAATGCTATCAAAACTGATGTGCGGATGAGTCGAGTCCTTAAAAGACTGAATTAATACCAAAGAAATCACTGAATTGTACAACACTTGCGTTTCTTCTTAAGGTTTACCTCTTCGGCCACTTGTTTAGACTCTTGCGGCGGAATTATCAATGAGTGTTGAACTTCAACGACAGCCGGAGTCCGGCTTTTAGGCGTACCATTCATTTCCGGAGACTTTTCTAAGAGATTCATATCTTTTTTACCATTAATAGCATTGAATCCATTGGGAGAATCAACCGTCTCTTTGGTCGGTGTAATAGGTTTTCCCTCTTTTATTAAGTTAACTATAATGTCTGCTTCTCGGCTCAACTCAGATCCCGGTCTAAAGGGATTGTCGACACCGCTGTCATTCATCCTATAAATTAAAAAATATAAATTATTATTTATACTAAATCTGTTAACTTATTATAAATCATCATTAAATATATCGAAAAACAACATAATATGAAAATTTAAGTTTTTATCATAAATATAATACTTTAATGATTATTAAAATATTTTGCTAATCAAATGCAAACTTGTAACACAAATTAAAATTTTAAGCTTATTTTTAAGAATCACGATAACTTAAGTTTTTTAATTAAAATTAACAAAAAATATAAAATATTATTATAAAACATCATGAAATGTTTATATTAAAAAATAAAATAATATTATATTTTAAAATTTCAATATGTATTTAAAAATGTTTAAAAATCATTAAAACTATTTTTAATTTTAACTATAAATTGAAGCTATTTTATATACTATTGATATTATTTAAACAAAACTAAGTTTAATAAAACAAATTTATAAATTATTATTATATTTTTTCTTATATAGAGTGCACACAAAACAAGTTAATTAATTATTTTTGTAGTGAATAACAGATAAATCTTAAAGTATATTCACAAAAAAAAAGTTTTATTTTCTAAATTTAATGTGAATCTCTCTTTAAATCACAAATTAACTAAATTTAGGACACAATCTAATGTATGTTTTTGTTGAAAATAAAATCCGTTAAATACCGTTCTTATCATTTGTTGAAAACATTTAAGTGATTAAAAGTCACACAAATTTTATTAGCTCTATATTATCAAAATGAAAGTATTTTGTGTTGACATAACACTTATACATATTAAAGTACTTAACGTAAACATTGTGTAAACCAAATTATGGTTAACATTATATAAAACTTTTTTATATTTGTAAATATAATAAATTGAGTTCAAGTTTTTATAAATATTTATCAAAGAGTTATAAAACATCAAAATATATAAATTTTTCGTAAATTTAAAACAAGTTATTAATTGTATTTAGAGATATTTTATAGCTTTAGTTGTGATCATAATCTGACAGCTATTTTAATCAAATTTTGAAATCTTAAATTTCAATAAGTATTTTCATTGTGTAAAATAGGAAATAATATTAAATTCACTTTTGAAGTTATTATATATATATATATATAGTATATTGTTGTTGTTATATATGTACTGTTGTTAACAAAAATAAATTATATTAATGAATCAGAAAATAAAACTATCTAAACAAAAAAAATTATATAAATTTATATTATTATTAGAATTATTATAAAAAGATACATTCAATAGAAATTTAAATAAATAATGTAAATCTGGTTTTCAATGAATTAATGTTTATTATTATATTATAAGCTTTATATTAAATGAAACGATAAATCATGAAAATGTTATAATGTATGAAGTCTTTCATAATGTTAATATTTGTGGGCACAGTCTAACTGTGATAATATACCAGCATTTTGTCATTTTTATTAATGTTTACAATAAAAAACAGTGTAACTAAAAAACAATCTTTTAATTTTAATGTTATTTTTAGAAATCTTATAGCAAAATCATTTTATTTTTTATTTAGTTATATAATAAATATTCAATTTTTATTTTTAAGTTGTTAAATAAGTGTAATTTATATATATATTGCTTTTGATATAAACATTTAAATAATAATTATTTGTATGATTAGATTAATTTAAATATTAAATAGTTATAACTTATAAATAATTATCTATAAAAAACAATGATTAAATATAAAAACAAAAGTAGACATAAAAGTGTAGCAATGTTGCAAAATTTTAAGCTATAAATATTGTATGTATGTACATTAAAATTTAAAAATATATTTAAACCATAACAAAAATATAAATAACAAAATAACAAAAATATGTTTTAACAAATTTTTACAAAAACATTACATTAATATAAATAAAAATAGATAATTACGGGAAAATATGATTATAAACTGGTTATAAACATGAAATACTAAATTATTTCAAATTTAGCAAAAATTAATGAAACCGAGTTTTATGTCTTTTTTATGTTTAAATCCAAACAAATACAATAATTTATAATTAGATATTATGCGTTAATATTGTTTGGTTTAATAAATATTTAAGTTTAAAATTTGGAGCAAAAGAAAAAAATAATTTCTGAGTGAAAAAATTAAATATATAAATATTAAAATAAATCACAAAAATGAGTAATATTGTTGTCATAATAGGTATATTAATAGTAATAATGTTTGGGCGATACCTCATATAAAATATATTAATTATTCATAAACTTCTCAAATTTGATGCCTAAAATTTAGCAAAAAAGCGATACTTTGTAAATTAGTTTTTACCATAAATTTTTATTTTATTATATTGTATTTTCACATATCATTTATATTACTTATTTTAAATGGTTATTTAAATGGTTAAATATACCAAAATTAAAATAACCTCAATAATTAAAATATAATTACTAAATAATACAATTGTAATGAAATTGTACAGTAAGTACTGTATTGTATGATTTAAATGCAAATAATTAGTAAAACGTCAAAACATCTGACACTGGAATTTCTTAACCATTCATCACTTATTTTTAATCAAAATTAACAATCAATTGGCGTAATATTTATTACTTTACTGTTGTAATAAATAAAATATTATAAATAATAAATATTATTGTTTATATCTATAGTATACAGTATATGTAATTTATATATAGTAACAAATAATGAAAGAGTTAGTAGAAATAAATTCAAAAATGCATTTGAAGGTCGTCTACAAACTTTAAGTCAATATACAGTATATCGTATATAAGTATTGTTTAATTTGTTGAATAATATATTTTTTATGACTTACATTTCATATTTTTCAATACATGTATTTTAGTGATATCATCTCAATATTCAAAACAAATTACATAATAGATGAGTTACGTTAATTTATCAATAGATATTAATTCAATTAAAAATACAATTAATTTGAAGAGGAAGTTCGTAAACAATATTTAATTATAATAAATATTATTCATACAAATTAAAATGTAGATAATATGCGTCTAGTAATACATTAATTATAGGATTGATGTCAGTGTTGTTTAAACATTTAATATGAGTTTATTTAAAATGAATAAAACATACACTATATTGACATCATTACATAATAAATTTATAAAATCAAATTAACAACAAATTATTATTATTAATGTCCTTAAAACCAAATAACACTTTTGTTTCAAAGGTGTCGTTAAAAATACAATTCAGAGAAATTAAATTATATTTAAAACAATTTGTTGAATAAATTCATGAGATTATAATACTATTTTAAATGAGATATTTTTTGGTGTTTTATCTGTCAAATGGATGTCACAATCAATTTTCAACTTCAAACACATGTCATTATTATGAAAAGACATTGAAAACATATTTCTATTTTTAATCTTACATTTAAACTAAATTATTAGTTCTCTCTCTCTCTCTCTCTCTCTCTCTCTCTCTCTCTCTCTCTCTCTCTCTCTCTCTCTCGAATTTTTGATAAAACATTTGACTTTTTCTATAAAATACATTATAATATTTTCAAATAATACATTATTATATGTTTTCATGTCAAGCAAAAAACGGAAAGTTGTCATTTAATAGTATACTAAGTAATATTTGTATCTAAATTAGAAAATTGAAATTTTAATAAGAAAATCGATATCTAGAGACATGATTCAAAGTTTAATGTCAATAACAACTTTGAAACATATAATCAAAATCATTATTAATTTATTTATTAAATAATTTAATTGCATTTGTTAAAATTTGTTAAATTTGATCATTTAATAATTATAAGTGTATATTTAATATTGAAATTAAAATAATCTAATTTCTAATCTAATTTTGAAAATTTATAGTCTAACTATACTACTAACAAACAATCTCTAAAGTATTAAAAGAAAGTTTAAATTATCACTTCATCATAAAACAAGTTTTTAAATATGATTAAAATTAATAAAATAATTGATAATTGATAATGCCAAACAGAGTTAAAAATATTAATATTTATTAAAATCTAATAATAAGTAACTAATAAAATTCAAATTATGTATAGAATATAAATTTATAATAAATTGATACTATAAAGTAGTATAGTATTACTGTATATAATGTACAGTATTTTGAATGCACGGTATTTTAAATTCATAGATAGTATGCGTGAGAATCAATTGAATAAATAAATTATCAATAATATTATCATAACTGAAATAAGTAGCAATACGTTACTAAATTCAAGTTAGCTTTATATTTATTTAAAAGCAATCGTAAAATACATTTATAAAAACAATATAAATATTAATACAATAACTTATAATACAGATATTACTTTTAAACTTTAAATATCGTTACTTAAGTCATGGCGTGAGATAAGAATAACAGAAAAGGAGTGGAGAAGTCATTTAAAGGACGGTATGTTTGTTATAAATAATGTATTAATAATATATTGGATAATAATTGTTATCTCATTCATTAGTTACATGTTTTTAATTCATTACTAAGATATGTAAGATATCATTACTTCCTTAGACTTGATTTTGTGTCAAAATTTGAGCCCAAAATTGTTTCTTTAGATTAAAATTTAAGATAACAGAGCAAACATTATGTTATTCAATATGATTGTCTTTAATCAATTTACAAACAATCTTCAAAATATAGCTAATGATAGTTTAGTCAAATATTAAAACTAACTTTATTTCTATACTCAGTTACAATATTTTCTCTCATAACTATAAGATTAGATAAGTGTCATCACTTATAAAATAATTATAAGACAAACATAAATATTATAACAAAGAAAAAATTATCTTTTTTCTGAACAATGAATACACACATAGAAACATTTCGGCATAACTTTAGTTGAGTTTATATATATATATATTATGTAGAAAATGTCAGTTTATTTATTGCAATGCATTGTTTTATTAGTAGACATAAGTTATGCCATGTCTGGGGTCATAATTTTGATCATTTATTTCATGGAGTTATTCAAACAATTGAGTAAAAATAAATAAACTAAAACTGCAGAAAACTATAAGTCTGTCCCCAAAAATAAGCTGAAATAATAATATAATAATATATAATAATATGTATTTGTAAGGCAACAGTTGCTTAACAGTCTATTCTCATGCAATTCATATGAGAGTCAAGACATATAATATTTACAGTATAACAAGTCTATAGAAAAATAATCAATGATTACACGATTAGACAATCAAATGGTGTGTAAACAACAACAACAAAAACTTATCAAAATTCACGGTCGTCTCATAAACCATATTATAATTGTTAATAAGTTGCTGTTAAGTGTTAAATAAACGAGTTATCGTCAAATAAATTGAAATAACTTTTTTATTAAATTTATGCAAAGCTTACATTTTTCTGAACTATTGAATTGATTAAAAAAAATAATTTTAACCAAACTTTAAAGCATTCTTAAAATATTATTATATTATAATAATTGTATAATAACTTGTATCTTATTGCTGACAAATATAAGGCTGGCATCAAAATAAAGGAAGTCATTAATTATATCTTCTATGATAATAGATTACAAATTTCTATATTATAAGACATTGTATAAAATTTCATTTAATACAAGTTGTGTATTGAGTTGTTGTCCACAAAAACTCATTAAAAATTTATTGAATTGAATGCCATTAATAGCAACCAAATAATGAGATTTGATAATATATGATAAATGATGTCTGATATCTACAAAATAAGTTATTTATTTTTAAAAAGTTTATGTTACAGACTGACACAACTTTTACTTTAAATTGACGTTAATTTCCTGATAACAAACATATAATAAACTGAAAGTTCTTTCTTTAATTATGTTAAATATATTTTTTTAAATTTTACTTTTTAATTAGTTTATTCAATAATATTTACAAGAAATATAATATTTATAAATATTTGAATAATCAAATAATAAGCATAACTGCAAATACCAAAGTTTTTTGTTTTATTAGATATTTCATAATCAAAAGCAACAAACAATACATGTGTATAATATTGATATACTATAAACAGTAGTTTAGTATATTGTAAATAATGTATGTGTAGTGAAATGTCAAATTATATTTGTTTTGCTATCAGATTATTATCAATTGCTGTCGATTATCACCAGTTGTTATGACCTTCACATGACATTTGTGGTGACATTTGGTATGCAAACTGAAAGATAATTAAATTGTATGCAATGATTGACAATAATGGCAATAATGGCTAAAATACTTCCCGTTTTATGCAATTCATCGACATTTGCATAAAAGTACTGTTCATACAAACTATTGTCTATCATTGCGTGCATTTGTTAGTCAAGAGATTGCTTTATGTGATAACAATTACAACAATGAATATAAAAATATTGTTTTCAAAAGTTAGTCATCAATGCACTACTATTTTGTTGTGTTTGCTTTAAATGGCTTTCGTTGTCCTATTTTCAGGTGAGAGCGTAATAAGACATTTACTATATTAATGCCATACCATATGTGATACAAACTTTAATATTTATCATACAATTTAAAGACACATTCACTACGATATGAAAACAATTTTTTCATACAATATATCACTCATCAAACTCTAACTCAATGTCACCTCTATTACCATTTATTTCATTCAATATACATAAATAAAACTTTTATTACATAAATAAATCTTAAAACATTTTATCGATGATAATGTCAAAAATGTGATTTGATTAGACATTCCTACAATTAATACTATTATTACATTAAAAATATGCTACAAAATATAAATAATCTTTTTTATGAAAAAAAAGAAAGTTTAATAACAAAATAAAAAATCAATTTAGTGTAAAATCAACACAAAATACCAATAATAAAGATTAATGTAATGTTAGATAATGTTTCGCATCTCTAAAAGTATAGCAAAATTGATTTCTCAGACATCATTATAACTATTATTTATTAAAACAATTATATAATGTTTTGGCTTAAAAATGCCACCAAAAGAGTAACTATTTCTATAACATTAACATTAACTGTCATAAAGTACTAGAAAGAAGTGCTTTTTTGCAAAAACAGACATATTTTTTGTTATTTCAAAAATACGAGTAAACCGTTTCAGACTTTTTTAAAGACAATCTATATATATAACTGACAAAAACAGAGTCATCTCTCTCTCTCTCTCTCTCTCTCTCTCTCTCTCTCTCTCTCTCTCTCTCTCTCTCTCTCTCTCTATTCTTAAGAGTATTTAAAACTAAACATTTTAGACAACACTTTCATAAAAGAAATGTTTTTAAATAAATATAAATAAAGTGTAATAAAATTGAACTTAAAATAAGACTAAAATAAAAGGGAAGCAAAACATATGATGCAAATGATGTATACTATTGTCTATTATTATGATTTAAATTCATTTTTTTGACTGACATTTAGCATAAAAATAATTTGTTTAAATAATAAATACAACAAATCATAATATAAACAGTCAATGAATGGACAAAATCAATAGATCTATAAATAAAGATATGTTTTAACAGAGCAATGAATGGCATTGAATAGGCAATAGTGGGTGAGTGGGTAAGTGTGGGGTGAAAGCAGACAAACAAATCGATAACAACGAGTGTGACTCATATATGGATATATTAATGGATCAATTGATATATATCTACAATATATCATCAAATATATGACAATTGGTGTCTTACACGTGATTGTGGTCGACATCGACGAAGGCCACCCTTCGGGGCATTTCTATGAGATATAGCTTAAGTCTGGCGTCGATTTGAGACGTCGAGTGCGGTATCGATGATAATACCATTGCTTATCAACACATCAATCACACCTCACAATTGATTAACAATAATAATAAGATCTACTAATGATTTCTAACTGTATTGTAATCACTGATCACTTTTTAGACGATCTTATATTTACCACAAATTAAATGCAATGATAATCACAATTAAAGCTTTGAATCAAATGAATGCATCGACTAATTGATGAACAAATACATCAATAGTCAATGGACAGGGATGTCATGGGTTGTGAAGGCAAAGTAACACTGATAGGTAAATAACTCGTCATTCAAGAGTAGATGGCATCAAATGGTGACTCCAGTGCGACACCCGTTCCCTACTATTGCTTATTATTTGGCCGACTGTTAGCCGAAAACGAGTCGACATATTAGTCACTAAAGCGCAGGACTGGCAGTAAACCAATGCATTCATAACTGCTTTTCCGTCCAATACAAGTGCCGCTCATTGACTGCATGTGCGGCTAAAACATACCAAACACTTATACAACCATCTGATCAATGCTTACTTTGCCGTTAACTACACCACTGTTTCTGACACTAACTCTATGTCTAACCAAACAATCATTTCATTGAAAACCGGTTCATAAATACATTGGAAATACTGCACTAATTCAATGACTCATTTAACATAACTTTTAAACGATATTTCATTATAATTGTCGTTACAATTATCATCGTTTATATCAATAATTAAAAAACAACAAAAAACTAATTTAAAAAAGCAATAAAAGAAAAAATAATAATTTACCTTAAGTTTTGACGTAAAATATGCTTCAATAGTATCGTAGACTTTATTTGACAAAAAAAGTTAAATAAGTTTACGTAATATTTATTTATTTATTTTGATAGGATTGTCACCAAAATGTTTAGTAAACTTATTATGCGATTGTAATGTAATTTGAGGACCGGATATATGAATGAAATAGTGAGAGTAAATACAGTATATTATATAATAGTAGTACAGTTCAGGTGAGGCTATGATGACAACACAAGCAGAGGTGCTGTTAAGCGACAACTATTTAAACTTAAGTTAAATGTTTTGCACACAACCAGAGCCCAAGTATTGCACTTTTATATAACTTTTTATAGCTTAAGAATATTATATCTACTGTTTTCAAGAGGAACGGTATGTTTGACACATATATCGCATAACAACCGCTTTAATGATTACACAACGCGATAACCATTCACTCATAACATTATATATAGTATTACATTATACAGTATAATATTTTACAGTATATTCACTATATGTTTGCTATGTATGTCATGTATTGCATGTAATATACGATTAGAGAGACAAACCATTCAATGAGTGACCCATACATTGAACGACTTTTCTCTCCAATCGATATCTATTTGCAGTCATAGTATCGGCAAATACTCTCACTTTTGTCACACAACTCACACAATAGTTATGTTGTTTATGATTGTCTCTATTGATTGCATAATATATTACATAATGTTTTTTAATGAACTCTATTGTGACCTCTGGTAACAAAATTATCAGTTTATCGACTTTTAATTCACTAATTATTAGACATAACTTTGCAATAATCCTATTTCTTTGACAACTTTTATTTTAGTCTCAGTTTAAATAATATCTTATCAAAAGTTGTTTAAATTATTTTTTCATCAAAAATATATTTGATTTAATTTTTGGAATTAAGGTTAAATAATTATTTATATATATATATATATATATATATCTATCTATAATCTGGTATAGTATTGTATAATAATGTAAAATATTATCAATTTATATGATACTACAAAGTATATAAAATTTGTAATGAATGTTAACATACAGTATATTAAGTTTTGATCAATTTTATATAATTGCAAAACTCAAATAATAATTGAAAATTTTGATTTTTTACAAACTCTAAATCTGCCTGAACCAAATAAAAACTGACACATTTGGTCAAATAGCAAACAAGTTGTCATATTATAAAGTAATTAAATTTGTTAATTTAAGCAAATAATGTTATTTTATTGATTATCTCAATGGTAGGCATTTGGCGCATACAGTATACAAATACCTTAATATAATGCCAATAAAATAGTTATAAACATTTTTGCATTAAACACTAGTTTTTATTATTTTTATAAATAATATTTTCAAATTCTTTTAAAACATTTGCATTTGAAAGAGAAATTTTATATTTTATACATTTTTATGATTTCTGTTTAAAATATTATATATTTTATTATTATTAAAGCACTTATTAAGCACTTTTCTGCCTTTCTATTCAATTAAATGCTCATTCAATCGTTAATTTCATACAAAGTTAAATCAAATGTAAATATTATATTCAATTACAAAATATTTATTTTTATGACAAAAAAATCGTGATTCAAGTTCTTTAACATTTTTAATATACAATTTAAAGTATCATATTATTAAATACTATACTAACTTGTGATTACAATATTATACAATACTGTATGAAAAGTTGGTATTTTTCAAAAAAAAAAATAAATAATAATACAAGCCTTTCGTATATATACATAGAGTCAGTCATACAAACACTATTACATTCAGCTTTTATTTTGAATGACTATTTTTATGACGAGTAAGAAATTATATATGAAAGATAAAATTGATGGCAAAATTGGTTTTGAAAATATATTATTTTTGCTTTTCCTGTTTTATTATCAAATTCTAATACATTATATATATTGCTTTTAAAATATATTTACAGTAAATAATATAGTAATAAAAGTAAAAGATCACTCAAAAATAAATTTTTTAATATACCGGTAAGTATTTATTGTGAAGTAACCTCTACTCAACTTTCAAACCAAATTATATACTAACAGTAAAATTTTATAAATCAATAAATTTATGAGTAAAATATAATTTTTGAACATCAATATTTACAAAATTATTATTTCAAATAATTAATAATTGACAGTCAATTTGATAGCTTAAATTTATTTTAACTAATAAATGAAAAGTTATTTTGTTATCAAATCCATAACATGATATACTAGTAATAACCATAAGAATCAATTATCTTATAATCTTATAAACCTGTAATAATAGTTGAGATATCAAACGTCCAGTAATACTACAGATACTGTCAGACAGTCTATTAGTTCAGTAACTTAGAGTTTTACAATACAAAGAAATTTTATAATTATATTAATTTATAACATAAATAGTTGATAACTAATTAAACTTAAGCCAATAATGCAATAATAATTTTTAATTAATTGTAAACATTAATAATAATAAGTATATTTAATGGAAGTAGCCATGGTTAAATGCAACAATTTTCATTGAATATAAATTAATCAGATGTTTTATTTTTTAGCTTTTTGGACATTATTAACTATGATGGCTTATTATTATAGAAAAAATTATTATATATTACAATATTAATTAGTTAAAAATAAGTTATTAAAAACTTATTTACTTAACTATTTACATATTTTAAATACATTATTTTAAATATTCATTTAACTTTTTTTTAACAATTTTAATCGTTTTAAACATTAATATTTTCTGATTCCAAATTAAGATTCAAAACTGATTATAATAATTATTAAATAGGTTTAAAACAACTCATCTTATTTTATAATTAGTTACTTTACTTAAACAAATAAAACAATAATATAATTATTAAATAGTTTGAAATTTAAATTTTTCATGATTTCACTGCATTTCTGAAATTTGAAATACCTCTCGATCTTATTAATAAATATTTAATTTTAAATTTATAATAAATAGATCAATAAAAATCATATTCAAATTTAATGATTTTTTAATAAGACAATAAATGTTATTATTTAATAGTGAATCAAACTATGATACTATATTTAATAGTTTTATTTATATTTAATATATATTTAATACTATATATATATATATATACTATAGATTATATTTAATATTTTCTAAAAATTATTTATATTAATAATTAAAGGAATCACTTTTGGTATTTACAGTATATTTGTATATTAATAAATGTAATGTTAGTACAAAGTAATATCCATATTATTTAATTATGTATTATCTGTATTATATAAATATAATGACTATTTATGATAACAGAGGTCTCAAACGATTTCATTAATTTTTTATTTTTCGTCAAACATGTTATATAAAAATATTGTATAATATTATTAGCAATTTTGTACGAAAACTTTGTTTATTCACTAATGTTATGAAGGGTTTGCTTAACATTTATTGATATGTTATTGCAATGCAATGCAACAAATGGCAAAAATCAAGTTTTTATGGCTAACACTAAAACATTAGTATTTTTAGTTTTAGTGGCAAACGTTAATAGTTGTTGATTGAGATTGAAGTGATGGTCATATTTGAATTTAGCAAAATTGATGGTCATATTTGAATTTAGCAAAATTGATGGTCATATTTGAATTTAGCAAAATTGATGGTCATATTTGAATTTAGCAAAATTGATGGTCATATTTGAATTTAGCAAAATTGATGGTCATATTTGAATTTAGCAAAATTGATGGTCATATTTGAATTTAGCAAAATTGATGGTCATATTTGAATTTAGCAAAATTGATGGTCATTCATACATTATTATATTTATTTGATTAAATCATAGACATATTGTCTAAACCATACAATTTATTTAATTAAATTAATATATTTTTTGTGACAATTGTGCACATGTTATACTAAATAATTATAATTATAGAAACTATACAACACTTTAATAGTTTAAGGTTGACGTCAATAGTAAAGGTAAGTACAAAATATTGATTACCTTAAAGTGATAATATTTTTTCATATTTTTGCATAATTTATAACAAATTATTCAATAATAATGCTTTATTTATATATTGTGTTTTATACAAAATTATTTATAAATAAATTAATATATAAATAATTAAATGATTAAATGATTAAATGATTTATGCATTTGTCATATGATTGTCAAATTAAATTTACTGTATAAGTAGTAAAATCCTTTGAAATATCAATTATTATTATTTAAAATATCATCCATACTATTATTCAGAAAATGATAAATGCATTAATTTAACAAATAGTTTTTAAATAAAATAATTATATATATGTTTTCATATCTAAGTATTTAATTATTTGCCACATAATTATGGTTACAATCGATAAAAGTATCGGAAAATCAATTGTCAAATACTATGAATGTTGAGAGCAATTGATTGTAATATTGTTGTTATGCATATAATGAAACAAACGAGTATTATGTTAATGATATAAATAAATTATATATTGTTATAATATATATATATATATATATATTTGTTTGTCAAACTTGATAGTTATCTTATAAGTTATAACTGTTTAAAAGTGATACAAATATTACATAATAAGTGGTCGACTCTTGCGCTTTGATGTAGAAAATGGTCGATTTCTTCGGTAATAAATAATAAGTTTGTTTTACTTTAACAGTAAATGTATTTTGCATTTACTCTCTATTTTTTGTTTCTTTAATATACATATTGTCAGAGAGTGTGACTGTAAACTGCATACCGTTTCATAATATACTGTAGTTATATAATACTATAATATACCGGTATATAAAAGTGATCTCACATTTGAGTGTTTCATATACCCAGTAGTATAGTAACTATTGAAGTCATTTTATTACTGTTACAATACTGTACTAACTTTTTTTATGTTCACTAAAAATAAATGAAATATTTAATGCATTGAACTTTTTTGTTGTCATAATATTATATATGCAATTGTTTTTATGATAAAACAGTCGCTATCATCACATATTATTTTTTTTGTTTTTTTAGTGCAGTAAATGGTAAGTGAACTATAAGTAAACTTTTATAATACATATAAATTTATATTACATTAATATCTTGTTTATGATAATACTTGTTTCGCAAAAGTTGAGTGTAATTTAATTTTAGATTAATTAGACAATTTAGCAAATTATGATTAATTATAATTTAATAGTATAATTATCCATTAAAAATTATCAAATTAAAATAATTAATCATATGAATGTTATCCCATATTTTTTAATTATTAATGAAATTACAACTAAAACAAAATGATATATAATTGCAGTAATATTTTATATTACCTGTATATTGATTAGTACAGTATTTCAACAGATGTTAATCTATTGACTTGAAATATTAGATATCTTTATATGATTTGTTAGTTTATTATTCATTATTATATTTATACTTTGGAGACAATCAATCATTTTTTGATAGGAGTGTCCATTTGAGAGTGACATCAATTGATACCTCAATTGTTTTAATTATTGTTATATTTTTTATTAATACAATTGTTTTTGACATGCAATTGTTGTCTTGTATTTTAGTATAATTATTTATATTTATGTATACATTATATTATTATGATTGTGAAACATTTTATTTCTATATATTACTAAAATAATTTTACTTAATTTTTTACTGTAAATATAATAATAATAATATATACTTAAATTATTTGAAAATTATATTATCTGATGAGTTTGTTGTTAATATCGATGACTTTACAAACTTAATAGACAATTAATTTTTAAAACGATATTATAATACAATATTTAATACTACTTTCAGTATATTGATTTCAATTATTCTTAAATTTTCAATATATGTAATTTATAAATATATATATATATATATATATAGTAATCGTGAAAACAATCTGGTAAAAGTTTGAGATCAAATATCTTAAAAACTATTTGATTAATTTTGATGTAGAGTATATACTGTACTATAGTTTATATACAAACAAACAAAATATTCAAAAATTATAAGTAATTTTATAAATTTAATTAAACAATGTCTAAACATATGGAAGCAGTTCTTAATGCTCGTAACGAACTTAATGTCAAACATAAAATTTTTCATTTATTTAATTATATCTTTTTAATTAATGATTTGTTTGTACATAAACTATAGTATATACTTTACGTCAAAATTAATCAAATAGTTTTTAACATATTTTATATCAAATCTTTATCAGATTATTTTCACTATTACTGTATATAAATATAAATATTAATTTCTATAGCATATACAGTAAAGTAAATTTATATTATTATTAAAATAGTTTGCAAGTATATACACACACACACCGAATTTTTTTTTATTTGAACTTTCATCTCAAATAACTAATAAAAAATGTAAAATGTAAAAATGTCAAATATATAGTATAGTATATTTAAATTTATATCAATGAATATTAAGAAAATTGTAACAAATTGTTTGTATTTTATTATATTTTTTATTACATAACACAAATTCTTGTGATTTATTGTTTGTTTTTCTTTAGAAAAAACAGACTTAACTTTTTTACACCTGATTTCAGTTATTTTCACTATTGTTGCTCTCACTCAACAAATTAATCCTAATCTAAGTTAAGTTTGTTTTGTCATTCAATACAATCTTTAAAAAAACAGAAACCATTACAATATTATAGACTACAGTATAGCTTATATGCTGTTTACATAATATAACAACCAATTCTTGTGTATGTCAAACACCATTACATAACTTTAACATTAATATAATAACAAAAATTATGAATTATTTATTTAGTAATGTATTTTCTGTTTCCTTTAACAAAAAAAACAAATATAGGTTTTTGTAATATCCTTACAATTGAAGAGAAAATTGTTGAAACAAAATAAAGCAAAACAAATGAATGAATACATCAAATGGTATTTATATCTAACATATGATTTCTACTAAAACTCATCTCAACTTATGTTTAACAGGACATCACTTTTCAAATAAAATGATTATTACATATATATAAAAAAATAACATTACATCTCAATAATATAATCAATGTTAATGTTGGCATAAATTTTCAAATTTGATGTTTTTTATGGTAAGTTAACTAAATCTTATTTATTACTAAATTATTGTATGTTAAATTTAATATTTTTATGTAAAATTTTATAAACTAAAAGTGTTTTAAGTCATGATCAATAATAATAATAATAATAATAATTTATAATATTTTTGTAATTATTATCTAAATTCAATTTGTTATTAAAATAATACATATTTGTAAATAATAAGCAATGCAAAATTTGTGTAAAACAACAAAATGTTAAGATATTATGTCACTATAAACCAAAAATTATACATTTTATTAAATATTGGATTTTAAAATTTGGATAAATATGAGATCAATAACTGTTTTGGCAAATATTAGCGTTATTTTGGTTGAGAAATAGTATTTAAATTGATTGAAATATGATTTGCGGTACAATACATATTCAATTTAATATAATTAATTAAAGCATTATTCATTGATATCAAACAAAATCAAATGGTAAGAAATTATATTTATAAATGAAATATTTTATTATTTATAATATTTATGTCAAAATTAATATTTTATTTGTGTAATGCATGATTTTCATACTTTAATGTTACATTGATTTAATTGATATTAATATTTATTGCAATTTATTTGCATTTAATTTATTCTACTCAAACATATTTTTTTGTTTATTTTTAATTTAGTTAATAATATTGCCTGCATTTTCATTATTAATATTTATGGCTATAAATACATACAGTAATACTTAATGCTTTACGACAGTATGACTTACGACAAACATAGGAGTGAATTATTATTAATTAGATGTATATTTTTGTCGTTGACTTTTTATAAATTAACTCTACATTTGAAAAGTATATAACTTATTAAATATTAATTTACAGGTAGAAAATATTATATATAAAACACTAGAATCTTATACATGTATTGATTAAAAGTAATGTTATGTATAAATATAAATCACAAGAGACAACAATTTTCTATTATATCTATTTATCTATTTTTTATATTTTAGTTATATTGTTAAGAATAAATAAAAATAATTAATTATTATGATAATGTAGAAACTTTCAAACATTATTTTTTAATTATTTATGTTTATATGCAATTAACTAACATTAAACCTTTACAGTATATGATTGATTGTTACATTGATGAAACATTAATTGATTAATTACAATATAAAACTATAAGAGATTTCTGTAAAACTATCTTAATCTCTATCACTTGATGTCGAAAATATTGGTCATAATGTTATAAATGAGTCCAAATAATGATGTGTTCTCTACAACATTAATAGTCATTTGTATATACTGTAGGATAGATTAAAAACTTTGTTGTCATTTAATTAAATATCTATCAATGTTTACATATATATTAGTTTTTATTTATTTTCGTCTAATTTGGTTTTTACAATTTTTTTTATAATATCTACATTTAAGGCAAATATTAATAACATTGTAAATATGTTTAGCATTTTTGCAGAAGTAATACAGTATATCTATAGGTATAATGTTTTTATTAAATTGCATTTATTAACTATAAATAGTCTATAATATTGCGAACAATTCTATGTATACTATAGATTAAAGTTTAATCAATAGTTGTCTATTTGTAATTTCAAGTGAAACTATATTTTTAAATATTTAATATGTTTACTGTACATAATAATAATAATAATAATAATAATACTGTTTTTAAATTATGTATTGATTTTTTTTAATTATTTTAACTTTATTTTAAAAACATTATATTGGATTATAATAATCATAATACTGTAATACTGTATTTAAAATTACTACTAAATTGTAAACAATTGTGAAAGAGTTGATTATTTTGTAAAATAAGAAGAATAAATAAAATATAATATCAATTGATGTTTATGTAAGCGTTTATTCTGTATTTGTCTAACTTTTAAACTATTTTTATAAAAATTTCTTAGCAATTACTCAATTCTATGTAAATAATTAAATTTGTCTCAAAAATGCATTAAATTTAAATAATATAAAGAATTGTTTAACTAGACTACAAAAATAGTGTATATTTATAAATAATGAAATTTAATGAAAACATTAACACATTTGTATGATTTTGAGTTTGAATTACATTTAAACAATATAAGAATTAGAAATATATTTAAATAAATAATAATTATATTTAATTTATTTACAATTTGTTATTTCAGCAAAGACTATAATAAAATGTATAATTAATAATAAAAATCATATAATAATGTCATAGAACTAAAAAAAATAAATATAAAATATGCGTAAGTTATTAACAATAACTTAAAATATAATAAAAACAAAAAATTTATGTAAAAGTAAATAACATAAACTCAGGTACATTGAAAATGATAATTTTTAATTTGTTTAATGTTTAATGATTGAATATTTAAGATTTTTATTAGTAATATATAACTAAATTACTAACTTTGGGATATATTTTATTTATTGAAATTAATATTATGAATATATAAGAAATCCATTAAATAATTATATGACATAATTCAGTAAATAAAATATTTTATATCAAATTTTTAAAAAATAAATCATTTATAACTATAACATAACAAAATTATAAATTTTATTTTATATTTATTTAATAAAAAATAAAGTAATGAATAATAATTATAATGAATAAATGATAATAAAAATTATTATTATGTAGTATTTTTCAATAAATCAAAAAAGCTATTATATTGTGTAATAAGTAATTTTGCTATTTAAATTAAATTTTAGCAGTTTTAATGTTTTCAAATGTGTATTATTTTGATAAAATATTTTTATTATAATTTGTTTACTTGATTTATAAAAATAGGTGTCTATTAGTGTTTTATTTATATCAATTGTCAAAATATATATATAATTATTGATTATTTATACAGTATTTTAAAAAATAAAATAGATATACAAAAGTTGAATTACTGAATTAGCTTTAAAACTATTAAAATTGGATAAAAATAAACATTTATTTTAAAATTAGACTTATTTTTAGATAATAAAAATATTACCGTAAATAATTTCCTTTTTTACAATACCTGTATATAAATAACATTAATTTATGTTTGATATTATTATCAGTTTATCATTTATTTTATATTAATAACTTAGATTAATGTATAAATATGATATATGAGAATTGAAAAGAGAAAATACTTGTTTTTTAAATATTTATATTTGATTTTTCAGTGATTATTCACAAACACTTGATTTATTGTTTGACGTGATTATCATTCAAATCTATAATTATCACAAAAACAATATTATATTGTAATTTACAACTAAAGACAAGCAAAACGTTATTTTTTAAATCCCTTAAGTAAACAATACTTACACTAAGAATCTAATTTCGGATTAACACAATTTGATAATATAAATAATAATCAAATGATATGTTAGTATTTATTAGTGTTGGAAAAATGCAAGTTTTTGAATTTGTAATACAGATTCTGTATAATATAATCATTAATACTTGTGAAAGAACTTTATCATTATTAAAATGTTTGTTTTATTCAAAATCGATATTAAAAGCGATTAATACTCAAAAAACAATAGATTAATAAAAAGATTAATTATTTACTTATATTATTTACATTTTTGTATTATATTAGTGTATAATAATTTAAGATTATAATTACTTTATTTTAGTCTTACTTATTACTTAAATATATAATTTCTTAAATGCGTTATTATGCTAAATTATTATTATGATTAAATTAATTTTATTTGATTACTTTATTTATTTTAAATTATCAATTGCTATACTGTATATATTGAACTTTATGATAATTATTAATTAAATAATAATTTTAGTCATATTTATTTATTACTCACTGATTGGTTATCAGTTATTTTAAATATTTATTTACATTTTTACATAAATTAGACTTATTATGATTTAAATAAAATATAATGTATTTTTAAAAGGTAATCTCTTAAATATATGTATTTATTGTATATCTACAATATAAATGAATATAAATTATATATTAATTATATCCAGAAATTTCCATAAAATAGTATTTATAAGAAATACTGTACAGTAATTATAATTGCATAATAATCTATTTGATTAAATAAAATGTTTAATTATTAGATTGATTTTCATTATTATTGTATAGTATTGTACGTACAATGTATTACCAATAATAACCACAATTATGTTAATAGTTTAAACACATTTATTTCTATTTACAAAATAATATAATTAAGGTTTAGTTATGACTTAAACAATGTCCAACTATTGATATTTAATATACTATATTTGCACTTTAATACATTTAATAAATAAATTGCATTACCTTTTGTACATTTTTGTTATACCGGTAATATTTATTTTGTTAGCGTTTTCATTATATTATCGAAATGACATTTTATATGCAAATTAAGGTCACAATTAATAATATTAGTTTTTATATAGCTTTTAATTAGTAGGCAAACAATTATAGTATAATACAACTCGAGAATATTTTATGCATTTATAAAATACTTCAATTAAACTAATTGATATTTTGTATAAATACATTTTTAAATTATTTAACTAAATTAAATTACATTATAATCATTGATTTTATACTTTAGATTTTACATTAAATTAAAATTAATATAAATAAAAAACATTTTCACAAATTATTTTGTGTATAAAAAGTATTATATTTGAATTTAGTAAATGAGAACTATTTATATTATATATTATTGTATTTATTTTTAAATAAATGTTTTTTATAGTTAATCTTTTATTTATAATGTATCTATTGTTAAACATAAATAAATTAGAATTAATTTAATTATTAGAACTAACATTTAGTATAATAATTACTAATTAGTAATTATTATACTAAATGTTGGTTCTAATAATTAAATTTATTAGTTATTAATTTAAACAGCGCAAGTTTTTAATTTTAAAATTTATAACAAATCTATATTATAGACAGCCAGTAGAAAATTATTTGCCCCAAACCCATACCCACCCATCCAACCACTTCATAACCTTACACTCACCCAAACTAAATAATAATTAAGTAATAAAACTAACATTTTATATATGTATAACTGCATAAAAACAATACTTTTTTGCTGTCTATAAACTTTTATATAAAATAAAGTATATTAAAATATTAAAAACATTTCTTCCACTTTTACTAATCAATATATAACACAAATGTATACATAAATATTACAAAAATATAATAATTTTTAATTAAATTACTTTAATAATTCTTAAGATGTTTTTGTTATTATCTTGTTTGACATCTGATACAAATAGTTAATACTTATATTTTTATAAATTAATTTATATAAAATTGATTATACTAAATAAATTGAAAAAATCAATAAATAGTAATATAAAAATAGTTATATATTGGAACTTGGTCAATATATATATAATTTATATTGATATATTTTTATATGTATATATTTGATAAAGTACATATAAATAATATTTAGTATATGACGATTAAATAATCTAATAAATAGTTAGTTTTACATTTAGTTATCATTTATGGAAATATTTATTAAATAGTATTGAAATAGATATAATCTGTAAAATCACTTGAATGTCACAATATATGTCACACATTAGTGAAATGCATTGAAGCAATCATTAAATTATATGATATACAGGTATTATATATAAAGTTCATAATCAGCTCAGAGATAATCATTGCATATTCACAACTCGTCCGCAATGTTATCGATTATATTATTCATTATATTTTGCATGAATTTTTAGCTAAATTACAATTAGTTATTAAGGTTTAACTGCAAACATAATGTCATTGTTTTTGTTGGTCCGACCGTTACTACACCAACACATTAACCACTCAAATATCTGCACATTATATCATTATTTTGCATTTCATTTCAGTAGAGTTGCACTGAAAAATTTCATTAACTATTTTGCGTTTTAATTAATTTAATTTTGATTTAAGCATAAAAATTATTTTTAAATTTTAATTAAATTTAGAAATTTTTTAATTCTAAAAGGTTTAAATCAATTGACATTTAATTTTTTGCATATATATATATATTTCTCAGGTTTTTTAAATAAATTGTTTTAAGCTAAAGCCAAGGCCATCAAAATAGTGACGATGGGCTGTTCCAACTCAAAGTCAGCCATCAAATTAAACGATGAGGACATTGAGTTTCTTAGAAAAAATACAAATTACACCGAGAAGGAGATCCGTGACTGGTATAAGGGTTTCCAAGTGGACTGTCCTAATGGAAAGTTGCCTAAAGAGAAATTCTTGGAGATATATCAGGGATTCTTCAAGGGTGGTAATCCCGACAAGTTTTGTGAACACGTTTACCGAACTTTCGATGAGGACGGCAACGGTTGGATCGACTTCAAGGAGTTTCTCTTAGCCATTGGTATCACCACCAGTACTAACCCCAGAGAAAAACTAAAATGGGCTTTTAAAATGTACGACTAGTTTACTAAATATAATTTAAATATTTTTGTTACAATTATTATTTTTAATTATTGTTTTAATATGTTGTGCTTAGGTATGACATCAATAATGATGGTCTCATTGAATTGGATGAAATGACAAAAATAATTAAAGTAAGATTACATTCAATTTGACATTAATGACAATGTTTTATATAATATTCAATACTTTAATAGCTCTATAGTTGTTGTATGTTTAACATACACTACACTCTATGCAGTAAATGGCATAACATATTAAATATTTATAATCATTTACTGGGAGTTTCATTAAAATTAATTGCAATTTATTCACATGTATTTTATTTATACTATTTATAGTATATTATATAATTTAAGTACAACTCGTTACATATTTATTAATAATTATTTTAATAATTATTTTTATAAATAGCATGATTATAACATAAACTATTAATGTATAATAATTTCTAATAATTTTTTTATAAAAATTTAACTCTAATATACTCTATTATATACTCAATTTCAACTCTGAAAATGTTTACTATAATTATTAATTATAATATTAGTCTAATTTATAAAAACAAAATAATTACTGAAACATAACTAAAACAATAGGCTTTACACGAAATGCTCGGCGAAGAGGCAAACGAGGCATTTGATGGCGAAGAAGCAGCTCTTAGAGTGAAAGATATATTTGAGAAAATGGATGCAAACAATGACGGAAAGATATGCTTAGAGGAGTTCCTCGAAGTTTGCAATATTGACGACGGATTAGCAAAATTGCTGTCACTTTCCGGTGACACCTAATTGTCACCAATTCTTCATTCCATATATTAATGCATTTAATATATAAAATAAATTACAAAAATGAATACATTTAGTGCTAAATTGACAATTCATTAATAAAGAGCTATACAGTAATCATTAACAAAACAACATATCTTTATTATAAATATATTTTTTAATATTATACATAAAAATATTTATTGTGTTATATAATATAAAATATAGCTTATATTTAAAAACGTCTAATAATTTACTTTTTATGTTAAAAAATGTTTGAATTAAAATATACTAAAAGCCATTTTATTATTTAATATTTTATTTTATTTTAATCAAATTTTAATTGATAAATGTATTTAACAATAATATTGTAAAATATTGATCATGACTTGACTCACTGTAATGTATATAAACATTTCAGTTATATATTCAATTGTTATTATAGATTAAGTGTTTTAATTTATTAAAAGTATGATAACAATTAATAATTAAAAAATTATAAAACGCTATTTTTTGTTATTTTTACAAGTTATCAATTTATTTATATTTGCTTTTATTAGATAAAAGATAATTTTTAAAAATATACAGTAATTTTGATGGGAAAACAAAATAGTAAATTAAAGCCCGAAGTGTTGGCTGATCTCAAATCAAGCACTGAGTTTACCGACGCAGAGATACAGGAGTGGTATAAAGGTTTTCTAAAGGATTGTCCCAATGGTCACCTGTCTATCGATGAGTTTAAAAAAATTTATGGCAACTTCTTTCCTTACGGCGACGCTTCACGTTTTGCTGAACATGTATTTCGGACTTTTGATGCCAACGGTGACGGAACCATAGATTTTAGGTTATATTTAAATATTAAGTAATTTTATATATAATTATATTAAAAATAACAACATTTCAATACATAGAGAATTTTTATGCGCTCTTTCTGTTACATCGAGAGGAAAGTTAGAGCAGAAGCTCAAGTGGGCATTCAGTATGTATGACTTGGATGGCAATGGTTTCATCAGTAGACAAGAAATGCTGGAAATTGTGACGGTTTGTAAATATATAGAGTTTGTATACATTTTGTGCAATTATTATAAAATAATATAAATTTATGTCAAATATTAGGCGATTTATAAGATGGTTGGTTCAGTGATGAAGATGCCTGAAGACGAGTCGACACCAGAGAAGCGAACGGACAAAATATTTAGACAAATGGACAAAAACTCTGACGGAAAGCTATCTCTTGAAGAGTTCATCGAAGGCGCCAAAAGTGATCCATCGATTGTACGATTACTTCAATGCGATTCTCAGACATGATATCAAACATTAATTGCATTTCTTTGTAGTTAATAATATGTGAAACAAATATTGATATTTAAAAGTTGGTCTTTTATTATATATCTATTGATTTTAGCAAAACAAAAGTTATACAGTATTTTGGTTGAGACAACAATTTAAGGAATTTATAATGAAATGACTTATATAGGATATACCCAAAAACATCACTGAGTGCTTATATACCACATACATATTTGACAGAAATTTGAGATCTAAGTCGAAAAAATTATAGATATAATTATCAATTTTATACATGATATCTATGCAACTGTTAAAACTAATAACTTTTCTATAATTTAAAAAAACTTGATTTTGTCTAATCGTTTTCGAGATTTTCTAAAGTGACCTTTGATTATATAAATAATTTCTATATATTTTGTAATATTAATTAAGATTATGTAATTAACATTTTAAACATATTTTTAAAATATTGCATTTTAACTAATTGGATGCTAACTTAAAATAGTCTGTTTTCAAAACTAACTGATAACTTATAAAGTTTAAAAATGTTAATTACATAATCGTATTTAAAGTTAAGATATACAAACATTATTGGATTTATAAAATTTTGTATTCAACTCATCTAAAATTTATCAAATTATAAATTTTCATTTTAAAGTCGAATATGTCGAAAATGATGAGTTATAATGAAAATGCGATTTCTTTTTTTAGACTAATATACAGTGAATTTAATTATATTTAAAAATTTCGATTGAATATTAAAATGAAATCTCAAATATCTGTATTCTCATACATGTATTATGATTTTAATGACAGCACTTACCTTATAATTTACATACAATCCTATAATATTAATATAAGTCAAAGTTCCTTAAAGCGCTACAACAACGCAATATTATTACAGTATTTAAAGTATTAATAATTACAATATTATATACAATATTATATTTAATGTTAATTATTTATGAGTATATTTTTAATATTACTTGACACTTTTTTCATTTTGTACATATATATAATATGAAAATTTATTGTATATATATAAATATTTTCAAAAAAGTTATTAAACAATACAATAAATGTATTGATTGTAATTATATACTTTATATATGGTATATCTAAATATAATTTTTCTGATTATTTGAAATAAATGTTTATCATTCTGACTATCATTTATTATCTGATTTATAATTTTGATTAGTTTTCAGTCAAATTTATATTATGTAACTCTTGAAGAGTTCATCGAAGGTATGCAAATATATAACTGAGTTTTCGTATACCAAACTCATACCTATTTGAGAGAAATTCAATTTTATACATGATTTCTATGCAACTTATATTCTATAGTATAGTAAATAGTATTATACTTTAAATGCAATTTCTTTAACTGTTATATCGCACGCAACAAACAATAACTTAGCGAAACCTAATATATTACTTGTTTAACCAAATATATCAATATATTTAAATCTAATAATTATTAATCTTTTAAAAACACAATTTGTTAAATATCTTTCCTATCATATCGTATATTGACTTCTACATCAAAATATGAGTTCCCGAAAAAATGCTACGACTATACCAATAATCGGTTTCATTGTCCATCGGCTCAAACTGTTAGCCAAATCGCGACTCTTCTCCGCCATTATTATGGATGATTTGAAGCAAAAGAAAAAGAAGAGCGAAAAATCTAAAGCATTTGATTTAAATCTATTGCCGAGAGTTAATCTGTCGAAACCAATCAACATATTGGGTCACATACTCATGTGGTATAACATACCAGTGCTCTTTGGTATCATAATGTCGCTCATATATGGCTACTATTTTGAGACATATGTCCGTTTCGTCGACTATTTTGGTCTTAACATTATCGTGAAAATCATAGCTCTGATGATAGGTCTGATGCCTATCGGTCTGATCGTAGCACTGGTAGCTTTGATGCGCACATTTGAAGAAGAGTTTGACGTTGTAGGTGACGGTCGCTATTTATATAATGCCCAAGACTTGCCAAAGTTAGTCAGTAATCTGGACTGGAGTTCTGCGGAACCTGAAGTTGAGAGCGCCAATTGGATACGGGATCTACTGGAACAACTCTGGTCTAATCTTAACATTTTTGCCATAAGAATGGTTAGTATAATGTTTCCTAATTGTTCATTGGATCCTATACTCGGACCGGTTAACCAAATAACAAAATTTGAAATCAAAAAGCTATTTCTCGGCGAAAAAGTACCAAAAATAACAGGAATTCATGTCATGAATCGAGGCGTCAAACGGGAGGATCTAATCATTGACTGCGAGTTCACATTTGACTCAGATTTGGAAATACAGATCATTGGTTGGTATATAAGTATTGATTAAAAATAACATTTTTAACAAAATACTCGTTTTGTAGGCAACTATGACATTGATTTTGGTGTCGACTGGTTTTATTTTAAGGCTAAAACAAGACTATTGTTAACACCATTATTCTCAGATCTTCCTGTGGTCGGTAATCTGCAGATATCATTACTGGAGAAACCAAAAATCAATTGGCACTTCACTGGACTATTGGCAATCTTGAATTGGGATTTCCTTAAAAGTTGTGTCGAGTGTGTTGTGTCCTATTTTGTAGGCAATCCCCGATTTTTTGCAGTCAATTTGGCTAAAGTATTGCCGACGCGGGAAATGAAGCTCAGGGAGCCAATCGGGTTTCTTCGTATTGAAATATTGAGTGCTAAAAATGTTGAACGACCGCAATCAGGCGGTGCTTTGAATTGTCTCCGTAAGCCCGACCCGTACTGTAAGATTGAAGTGGAAAACGAATCGATGTCAACAAGTATTATAAAAAATGATTCAAATCCTGAATGGAATCAACAGTTCTGTCTTATGGTACACAACTCTATACTCAATCCATTAATATTATCCATTTTCGATGAAGACCTTATCGAAGACAAACTTATTGGTCGCTTCTCTCTACCGATAAAAGAATTTGTTGACAATCGACAGCTAAATGGTCGCGAGATATCAGTTCCGTTGACTCTAAATGGTCGTCGCATTGAAACACTGGAACCGCCCATAACCGACAAACGCTCGACACGTATGGCCATTCGGGTGAGTTGGTTCAAATTGACTAATGATGTTAAACTCTTGGATCATAATTTGCGTCTCTCGCGTACACAACTGCCAGTGGCTGTACTGTCCGTTTTGATCGATTCAGCTTCCGGTTTGGACACATGTACCGTTCAGGTGCGAAGTCCCGAATTGAGACCAATTGTCAAAATCAGTGTCGGAAATCAGATGCGCTTTACAACATGCAAACGGAGAACGGGTTGCCCGGTATGGGAGGAGGCCTTTCACTTCATTCTTTATAACCCTATTTGGGAGAACATCCGCATCGAAGTGATTGATATGTATTGGGTCGAAGAGAAACAGTTGTTGCCATTTATACCACTCTATGTTTCAAGTTTTGGTACTAAAGACATACTGGGATTGTCATCCAAAGGGACAGTACTCGGAACGTACGAGATATCCACTAATGAAGTATTAAAAGCACACAAAATGAAACTCGAGGGCTCGTATCGACTAAACGGTTACGTAGAAAATGGWTTCATACGGTTATTGACGACTATCCGAATCGCAGAATTTGAATCTCATGTCATCGAGAATATCCGCAAACCACGCGTCCAATTGGCATATGTAGTGAAACTTKAAAAACAACGACAAGAGGCAAAGGAAATGAAAGAAAAACAGTTAAAAGAAGTAATCGATTGTAAGACAGAAAACAAATCATTCAAACAGTTGTCCGCCGACCACACTGTCCAACCGGTTCCCTCTCGAGTCAAGTTTGAACCAAAGTTGGATAAACAAGAGACTGGAAGAATGCATTCATAATCCTCTGAGGATTGAATGATATTTCAGAAATGTATATAATTATCAATTACTAAAAGTCTTAGTTTTTTAAACTGATTTTATTATTAATTATTTTAATAATTTTTTTACTATACCTTCATATTTCAACTAATTATTTATCGATTTTTTAGAAATGTTAATAAAAAATAATTATGTAATTAATTTTTATAAAATACTATTGTATATACTCTATGTATTAATAGTTGGCAATAAAATTGTGATATTTAATTATAAAATAAATCATATAATTATTGTTAAATTTATATACATTAGAGATAACATTTAAAGACTAAAATTATATTTTTTTATATAAGTTTATATAATGAAAATACATATTTTGTTAATGAGTTGCTAATTAATTAACCATGATTATTATTAATTAACCATGATTATTATTAATTAACCATGATTATTATTAATTAACCATGATTATTATTAATTAACCATGATAACTATTATTTAAATTAAATTTACAAACTTAAATTTAAAGGATTTAATTCAATCGACATTTAATTTTTTGCATATACTGTATATACAGTATATAATTAAAACTTTTAAAATATATTATATTTTAACTAAAGTTAATTGAATGAAATGTCTTGAAAACAAATTAATGTTTTATATTTAAATTAATTTAAAACATATTATTATATTAGTATTGATTACTAATCACTAAATAATGATTTGTAATGTACTGTATTTGTGAATCACTATTTCAATGTACTGTTGTATATGAATGTAACAAATTGGCGCTTAAATAATGCTGTTATTGAATGACTATTAAAATATTCAACTATTGGTTGCTTTTTATTCATTGACTCAATAATAGATTGAATGTTAGACTCAGTCATACATTGAATGAATTACTCAATCATTTAGTTTGTATTTCATTGACGACAAGCAATCGTTACATTGATTTCAATCTTTGCAAACATTAATACATTAATTGTTTTATTAATTTATATAAACAATGGCTTCGGCTTCGGGAGAGACTATTGATGACTCTTTGGCTCAGTTAGAGGCAAATGAAGAACGAATGGCCAAAGAAAACAAGATTAAGATTAAGTTGAAATCCAATGAGGGAGGAGTGGTTGAGTGTGGACTGACCGCAGCAAAGATGTCGGTTCTGGTGAAGAATATGTTGGAAACGATTGTTGATCCGCAAAAACCATTGGAAGAGTTGGCTAATCAGGAACCGACACCACTTAACAATGAAGCCGTGACCGATGCGGCTCTTAAGAAAATAGTTGAATGGTGTGAATATCATTGGGACGATCCTCCCATTGATGAGGATTTCGAGGAAGAAAAGGATCGACGCAATGAAGAGTTGTCTCATTGGGACAAACAGTTCATTGATATCCCAGATCAGGGGGATCTGTTTGATATCATAGCTGCCGCTAATTTTTTGGACATAAAAGGTTTGGTCGAAGTCGGCGCTAAACACATCTGTTCTAAGATCAAGGGTAAGACATGTGCTGAAGTCAGAGATATGCTGAAGATTACCAACGACTTCACGCCTGAAGAAGAAGAGGCCATTCATAAGGAAAATGAATGGATTTATGCTAAGGATTAGACATTACATTTAATTTCAAACATTTAATTTTATTTCTCATAATATTGGATATAAATATCAACTTTCTATGTAAAAATGTTTTTCAGTTAATAAATAAATAAAACTTCAATAAAATTTCAATTATTTAATATTTGATACATTTATGATTTAATGTACCGATAGTTCAATATGTAATACATTAGTTTAGTTTTACAGCATTTACTTATTTGGTGTACAAATAGATAATCATTTTATTTGAATTTATGATTTAATGTTTAGTAATATCAATCATCAAATGATTGCAACAATTTAAACAAATTGTAATTTGATTGAAAAATGTAATTAACAACAAATTAATACTTTAATTGTATAGTAATTGTTAATTGAAAGGCTATTATTAATACAATGTTATTAAGTATTTGTATGGATTAATCAACTTAACTATAATTATGAATAAAATAATAAACTTTAATATAATATATGTTTTCATAGATTTTATAGCCATTTATATCATTTATAAAGAGGATTGAGTCAAATGGTTGACTCATAAATAGTTATTTTAAAAGTAATAAATACATTGATATTGAGATATATTTATTAAAATAGTCAAAACTTAAACTTAACTTAAACTCAAAAGTATTCAATTTCTATCTATTTGTTAATTAGATTATTACTTTTCAAATGAAATATTTTTATATTTCAAATAACTTCAACAATATATTTATGATATATAATAGAAATACATTTATATGTACTGTATATAACAAATAAGTCTTTTTTTTGTTATTAATAACCAAAATTTTATCATCAATTACTGATAGTTTAAGTATAGGTTTGGCTAGTTTTTTAATTTTTATGTATAAAAAACTAACTAAAACTAAACTAAACTATTTTTATATGCAAAATCAATACAAATGATATAAAATACTGTACAGTACTTATAAAATGCATTGATTAGTATATTAACTATAATAAAACGTTAAATGTTTTTATATGAAAATAAATTTTATTAAACATTAAATAATGCAAACAAATTGTGACAAAATTGCTAACAATTTATTAAAAAGTTTATCACCGATTGTTATAACTTATAATTGATAGACTATTACAAGAAAAAGTAATTGATTTGAATGACACAAATACTTATTGAAAAATATAAATATTAATTAATTATAACTAGAGTTTCGGTCAAATAATTTTGAAATAAATAAATAATTATTTAATAATTGTTAGTAATTATAGTCAACTTGTAGTGTAAGTGTAAGTGTTATGATATAACAGTATTGCCAATCAAGCGGTGTATTAGTAGTGATGTGTACTCTATTGTAGTGTTTGTTATGTATGTGTTGTATAATACTATTACTATTACAATACAAGTGAATTGCATTGCATTAGGAATACATGTTTTACAGCCATTTGAGTGAATGTCAGACAACATTGACATCACTGACAAACACATCACTTCTGGACTCACATTGACTGCAATCCGCCCACCAATTGATCCATTGATTTGTTCCCAAAGTTATATTAATTGTAAGTAATTGTCACCAAAAATTGTCATAATATGGGTCACAATCATTGGACACAAACACAGGCCTTAGATTATGTAAACAATATATGATATCAATGGATGTCTTCAATTGATTTACTAATTGATTACTCATTTGTTATTCAAATTAGTTGTTAATTAATTTGTCATTTATTATAATTTTTGTTTATTTTTTCTGTTAATTATCAGTGAAATGAACTCAAATGAAGACACAAATAATGCCAACAATGAACCTAAAGATACGGATGACATAAACGCTCAAAATGTGACCACAAGTGGTGATCATCTAAATGCTAATAACGATATCGACAATAATATAAGTATTAATAATAATAATAATAATAACAGTAATAATGATGATGTGATTAATGAAGTTTCAAACAAATCTGTAGAAAATACCACAAATGATAATATTAGTAAAGACACTGATATGAGTAGTGCCAGTGATGAAGGACTTGTAAGAGAAGATAAAAGTGATAATAACGGATCTACTGATCCAAAGGTGATAACAATAGATGATAATAATGAAGAAAGTGTACAACAAGACAACAAATGCACTGATGAGACAACAGAGGATACAAAACCACTGGCTATCAGTACTCATAGTCCCGGAAGCGCTCAACAGATCATCGATGTTAAAGAAAACCAAGAGACAACACCTGATGGTGATAGTGGTGATAGAGTGTCTAACAATGAGATGAAAATTGATGAAAAAGAGATAGAAACGAGTGGCGACCTAAATACCGGCAATGAGAGTGATGTCAATAATGAAAAAATTACAGATAAAACTATTGATGATTTAAATCCATTTAAAGATGAATCCGATGAACAATGTGACGATAAATTAGATGATAAAAATCCATTTGCAAATAATGATACCACTGAAGAGAAAAGTGAAACTAAAGAAAGTGGTGAATCAAATGTTGTCACCGATAATGATAAAGTCGATGTAAAGATGTCGGAAAACAAACCCGACTCGACAGTCAACAGTGATAATCAATCGACAACTGTTTCACCGGCAAAGAGTCCAAAATTCAATGCAATTCCCAGTGATTTACAAGAAGTGATAAATGATAACAGTATTTCAGATGAAGTTAAGTTTGGATTACTTTGTGCTAAACTAATGTCAATTACATCATCGGAAAGTAGTCAAGAAGCGAATCCAATTACTGATCACATTCTTCACCTTTTGATTACTGATGACTTACAAAGGATAAGAAAACCCCAAACATTACGACTGTTTTTCAGAGATTATCTTAAATTATTGCCGTCAAAGATTGTCGCCGAGATTTTAAGTGTTTTGATTGCCGTTTTTAAGAAATCCCTTCTTAACTTAGAGGCAGCAAAAGGATTATTATTAGATTCATTGACCCAAACATTTCATTTCGATAATCTCATCAAACATTTTATTCGTGAAATTATTAATCTTCAGACATCTTATAGTTGTGATGTTAAGGAGTTGAGAGCATTACTCAAACAGAGTGAAGACGATCCAAGACTTCTTCATTATATTCGTAACGCAAATCTTTTACAAAGAAGTCGTCCGAATGCGTTCTATGCATTCCCCGGTTCTATGGGTTCTGTATTAGCAATGCCACCAATTCAGAAGTGGCCGATTCAGAATGGCTGGACATTTGTTACGTGGTTTCGTTTGGAACCAAATGCAACCAATTCTCAGCCTTATCTCTATTACTTCAGAACCAGTAAGTCCGGTGTTGGCTATTCGGCTCACTTTACCGGAAATTGTTTGGTATTGACTTCAATGAAAGTGAAAGGCAAAGGCGTTCAGCATTGCATTCCATACGAGTTTAGTCCATTCAAATGGTTCCACTGCGCCATCACTTATGTCACTAAATGGAGAAGTGCTGAGGTCAAGGTGTATGTGAACGGCCAGTTGACTGCCAATACAGACATGGCGTGGAATGTCCAGACATCAGATATTTTTGATAAGTGTTATATAGGAAGTACTGCTGACCTCAATGAGTCCCACCTATTTTGTGGTCAGTTGTCGTCCATATATTTATACCACGAAGCACTAAATGCCAGTCAAATCTGTGCCATTCATCGGTTAGGGCCGTCATATGTCGGCCAATATTTACACAGTAATGAAAGTCAAATTGAATTACCAATGGCTATGAAACGGGTTTTATATGAAGAAAAACTAAGTTCAACGCTATTTTCTCTCTACACACCCGTCGCTGTCGAAGGCGAGACATTATGTCTTCAATCGGCACCCAAAGGCAATGTTATGTACTTTACATCCTCACCACACGCAGCACTGTTGGGTCAAACAATTGCAATAAAAACTCAATCAATCAGTTCAACACTTCAATCGATTGGTGGTATTCGAGCACTTCTGCCACTTCTTCATCGTTTTACTCAACGATCTGATGCCGAGGCATGTGCTACACTAATCGGATTTATTTGTGATTTATTAGAAAGTTCTCCGCAATGGTTTGGCAACGAAGTGGTTCAGTCACACGGATTTGTCATCATTTCTTCACTGTTAGCAAAAAGTCCACGAATTTTGATAAATGAAGAAACTTTAGATATATTGTTGAACTTAACGAAAACATTAATTAGTGCCGCTTCTGGTGCTGACTCTATCTTATTGAAGCAACTGATGGACAGTGTTTTATTTAATGCTTTTCTTTGGATTTATGTTGACTCCAAACTACAGCTCAGACTTTATTGTTTCTTAGCCACAGAATTTATTAGTGGAACAAATAATACAAATTCCAATAATGGCAACAATAGTGGTAGTAATAGTGTGTCCAATGGCATAGTCTTTAGCGAAGTAAGGCGTATATCAACAGTATTACAATTATTACATTCCCTTAAATATTATTACTGGTTATCGGAAGAGAAAACAATTCAAGTGAAAGCCAAAGACAAGTCTTTACGGCCCAATAAAAGTGAACTATTGTCCATTCGTTCTTATATTTTACTCTTTATTAAACAACTGATATTAAAGGGCAATGGAGTCCATTTGGATGAACTTCAGGCAATTCTCAACTATTTGACAACAGTTAATGAAGACGAAAATATATTGGATGTGTTGCAGATGTTGCAGTCACTAATGTGCGAACACCCGGCATCTATGATACCCGCCTTTGATGCCAAACATGGCGTCAAAACAGTATTCAAATTAATTGATTCATCAAATGAAGAGATTCGCATTCAAGCTCTTAAACTATTGGGTTATTTCTTATCTCGAAGTACTCAGAAACGAAAGCAAGACGTAATGGGTCCGCACAACCTCTATATGCTTTTGTGTGAACATCTTATGAAATACACTCCACTATCACTCGAGACTTATAATGCATTGCATGAAATACTGACAGAAACAGCTATTGAAACAATAAGAGCCTCGCATTCAAATAATGCCAGTCTTCGCATTGAAAATCCAATGGTTCTTAAGGTAATTGCAACTCTTCTGATTGAAGGTAAAAAAGAAGATCTCAATGAAAGAGATGATTCTTCTCCAGACATAAAACGGTTGTTTATAAGTGATTTATGGAGACTTTTGGTGAATAATCGGGAAAATAGAAGACTTGTATTACAGATGTCTGTATGGCAGCATTGGCTCATTAATTTGATTGATCACAACATTGAAGTAACAAAAGATCAGATTTTAGCCATATTTCGCATACTTTTATATCATGCCATCAAATATGAATACGGAGGTTGGAGGGTATGGATTGACACACTGGCCATCATTCACGCTAAGGTCAGTCTCGATGAGTTTATGGATCAGTTTGGCAGAGATAAGGCTCAACGAACCAATGATATTAAAGTTGAACGAAGAACTTCTGGTGACTCAAGTACTGGAAGTAATTCACTGAAAGATGAATCAATTCAGCAAAAAACTGATGTTTTGGATAATAAAAAGATTACTGAAAGAACATCAGAAGTCAAATCACATGATAACGAAGATTACGAGAACCGTCCAGAAGACGATCCCCGTCCTGAAGATGACCGCGAATTAAATAATGTCCCCTCCGTTGCCACTCAACAATCAGAAGATACTATTGATAATAAAGAAAGTTTAACGAGTGATAAAAGTGCCAAAAATAACGATACAAATGGAATCACTTCTTTAGATGAAAGTAGTACTAATGACAATGAAGAAGAAAACGAAGAACAAAATAGCCAAAAGAAAGAGGCATTTATTAGTACTATTAGTTCAATTGATACGCAATCAAAGTTATCCGAAACCGATCCCAAAACAATGTCCACAACCAATGTTCCTGACAGTGCGCCCTCAAGACATAATCGATTTGCTAATCGTCGAACAAATCCACAAAAAGAGTTTTATTCTTCTTTAATTTTGGGCCAAAAGACAACTCCCAAAGTGTCGGCAACGCCTGCCTTTCGGATACCGGAGTTTCGTTGGAGTCAATTGCACCTCAAATTACTAAATGATTTATTATTTTCAGTCGAATGTGATCTTCAAATGTGGCGAAGTCAGTGTTCTGAATACAAATCTGAATCCAGTTCACAAAGAAGTAATCAATTGGATCAAATTCTTCAACATTCCGAAAATCAAATATATATAGTTAATGCTATTCACTTAGTTTCTCAATTAAGTGATAATATTATAATATCTGCGGGCGGACTTTTACCATTACTGGCTGCGGCCACGGGTGGAAACAGTGCCAATACAAATGTTTCCGCGGGAGGAGAGGGTCTGACCGCAATTCAGGCCAATTCTCTTCTTTATAGACTCGTTAACTTAATCGACATCTTGTGTTTTGCTGCAACTCACGTAAACTTTAGTGAATTAGAAGCAGAAAAGAATATGTCTGCCGGAGGAATACTAAGACAATGTTTAAGACTTGTTTGTACTGTTGCTGTCAAGAATTGTCTAACAGTTCAGAAGCATATAGAAAATGGTTTGGCACATGAAAGTGATGTCGAGTCAATTGAGATGAATGACAACTTTAATACCGGCACCAGTATTGCTGCCGCAGCTGAACTATTTGGCATTGATTTCACATCAGAATCAAGTGATTTAGTCACTAATTTTAAAATTGATGGCTCAGATACTGAAACAGTGTCGACATTTATTCCAATACAACCGCTTCCTATTAAAGATCCGATGCGATTGTTACAAGAAATGGATGTGAATCGTTTGAGAGCCTGTATCTACAGAGACGCCGACGCAGACACTCGTCAGTCACAATTCTTAGCTTTGGCTACACTTTATTTTATATCTGTTTTAATGGTTTCTAAATATCGCGATATAATTGAGCCAAAGGGTGCTCAGGTGTCAAAAGGGAGTCGTCGTAATTCTCAAGTTTCTAACGACAGTTCCCATTCAATCAACGAACAAAACATAGACTCCGGTAGTTTAGATCCATCGGAGATCATTAAACCCATCGAAATTCCTAAAACTCACGTCGACTCTAATATTGGCGAAAAATTGACCGCAAAGTTAGAAACAACTCTTTCGAGTGTTTGTCCTCTTCTTAGAGAAATTATGTGCGATTTCGCTAATTTTTTGTCCAAAACACTTCTTGGATCTCACGGTCAAGATTTGGTCAGCAAAGAAGCTGTTCGAACATTCCGTCGCACTAATGCCAGTCCGGTTGAGTTAGTGATGTTGTTGTGCTCTCAAGAGTGGCAAAACACACTGCAGAAGAACGCAGGATTGGCTTTCATTGAACTTATTAATGAGGGAAGACTTCTATCTCATGCTATGAAAGATCATATCGTGAGGGTTGCGATGGAGGCTGAGTTCATACTTAACCGATTAAGAGCTGACGACGTTTCCAAACACGAGACTTTTACTTTATCTTGTTATGAAACACAAGAAAGTCGTACTCATGAGGAGACACTAATTAATTCGTTGATATTATCAGCTAAACGACGCGATTGGATGGTTTTTACACGATTTAAGGAGAACCTAAAGCGCGGTCACAAAAAGCAGTACAAACTGGATTCGTGGGAAGACGACGCCAGAAGAAAACGTCGATTTATTTGTGACCCCTTTGGTGTCGACCAAATTCCAGATAATTCACAAACAACTTCAGTTGACGGAAGTATTCAATCAAAGAATATAAGCGATGAGTCACACAGTGAAAATCACATGAATAAGACTAGTGAAGACTTAATGGCTAATCCAATAGTTTCGCCAAAACAAACATTAAATACTTCAAGAATTGAAGAAGAAGATAATGAGTTATATTTATGGGAAAGTGAAGAATCGGCTCAAGAAAGTGAAACAAATCCCGAATTTAGTGGTTCTGTTCTCTTCACAATCGATTGTTGCCTTATTTGGGGAATTTATGCCATCGAAGGTATTCTACAAATAACAGCAAACGAGTTATTCTTTGAGGCGCACAGTAGTGATATTGAACTGAATTCTGCCCTAAAATTTGATAAGAAAATGTCCAAAAGTGATACCACAGACAACATAATGAAAGGCTTGAGTGGCATTGGATCGAAGGGTTCAAAAGGTTTTAAAGATTTAGATCTAATGGTTCTTCGGTATTGCGATCTTTTGACATACAATGGAAAAATTCTTTTGAATGAAATTCGAGCCATTTTTACGCGAAGATTTCTTTTACAACAAAATGCTGTCGAAATATTTTTGGCTCAGAGGACATCCATTATGTTTGCATTCGCCGATTACGATACCGTCAAAAAAGTTGTCAAATATTTGCCACCCGTTGGTGTCGGAGTCAAGTATGGCATTCCTCAGTCGAGAAGAGCATCTCTTATGTCACCAAAACAGTTGTTTGCGACCTCTAATATGACACAGAAATGGCAAAAGAGAGAAATCAGTAATTTTGAATATTTAATGTTTTTGAATACAATTGCCGGTCGAACCTATCAGGATCTCAATCAATATCCTGTATTTCCTTGGATTTTGACAAACTATGAGAGCAATGAACTCGATTTGGCTCAGCCGACAAACTTTAGGGATCTATCGAAACCTATCGGTGCCCTCAACAGTGACAGAAGGTCCGAATTTATTGAACGATTCAATTCATGGGATAATAGCAATAATGTTCCGGCTTTTCATTACGGAACTCATTACTCGACGGCTGCATTCACTCTGGGATGGCTCATACGATTGCAACCATTTTACTCGACATATCTATCCTTACAGGACGGACGTCTTGAAGATGAGTCACGACTATTCACTTCAGTACGCGACGCATGGATTGCTTCACTTATGGGTGGACAGCAAAATGTTAAAGAGCTGATCCCTGAATTTTTCTATTTACCTGAAATCTTCAATAACAATCATATATTAGATGACGTGGAACTTCCAGTTTGGGCCGAATCTCCCGAACATTTTATAAGATTACATCGAATGGCTTTAGAATCGGATTTAGTTTCGTGTCAATTGCATCAATGGATTGATCTGATCTTTGGTTATAAACAACGAGGACCTGAAGCTATTAGAGCTGTTAATGTTTTTTACTATTTAACATATGAAGGTAATACAGACCTATCAAATGTTACAGATCCGGCACTTAAAGAAGCTATTGAGTCCCAGATTCGCCATTTTGGCCAAACTCCGAGTCAATTAACCTCAGAACCACATCCGCCCCGAAGTAGTGCTTTGCATGTCTCTCCACTAATGTTTTCACCCGTTATGGATGAAGTGTGTATGTCAGTCAAGTTCCCGTTCAATGCAGCCGTGACTCATGTGGCCTCGTGTTCCACACACAGCACACAACCCAATACAGCCTCACAGATAGTGACCATAAATTCACACCAACAGTATTATCTGCACAAATGGAACGTCAAAGAGACGACATCTCCATTAACAATGGATACGGCGCTCGTCTCAAATGCTTCTAATATGAAGAGACAACTATTAGATACAACAAATCTGTGCACTTCATTGCAATGTCATTACATCGTCACTCTGGATGCAAAACATATAATTATGTGTCCGTTTTATGACAACTCATTCCGTGTTTATTCAACTGAAACGGGAAAACTCAATCAAATCATTTACGGTCACCGCGGGATCGTTAGTTGTTTGACGCGCAGTGAATGTAATATTGCGGCCGATTTTTATGTTGCTTCTGGTAGTCAGGACTGTTCGGTATTATTGTGGACATGGAATGCAAAATATGCTCAAATTGAAGGCAACGGTGCCTCTAATCTATCGAATCCATTGCCAAAACTAACTCTTTGGGGACATCAGTCCACTATTATATCGATATTAATTAGTGCAGAGTTGGGTATTATAGTGAGTGCCAGTCGTAATACAATACTTATCCACACAACAACTCACGGCGAATGTATCACTGAAATTGATATCAGAAAAAGAGGTGCTATTAATACAATCAGAAGTATTAGTTCCTATTCTGATACTAACAAATCTGATGAACAAATCGAGTCGAGACCTGAAGGACAGATAAATGGTATGTTTTATGACTACTAATACTTAAAAATTGATTAATTAAATGGTTTATTATATCTAACAGAAGCCAACTTAGAGGCGTCAATGTTGGGAAAGGAAGGCTCGAAAAGTATTCGTAAACAATCACAAGATTCAAGAAGTGACACAAAAGTAGATACACTAAGTATGACCTCAAATGATGTAAACACTGATTATTGTTCGGCATTCGATGAAACCGATTATCTCATTAATAATTTGGTTTTGTGTCGGGAATTGGGTTTCATTGTTGGTATAGCTATACCACAAAGTAATGACAGCGACTATGAAGATCCCAACTGTTTGTCACAAAAGCATTTAAAGACATCTAAAAATGAAAGACAAGAAAATGCTTTAATATTTTCTTATAATTTGAGAGCAAAACTCATCAAATGTGTACAAATCGGTAATATTTCGTTTTTAAAGGACAGGGATTCTACTCTATTATTGTCCACTCGAGACGGCGAATACATCGTAATGACCGAAAACGGAACGACTATTAAAATATTGCGAACCTTTGATTTGACGCCTTTGTATGCTTTGAATACTACAGAACTGTCGACGACTTTCACTGGCGAACAAAATCGGATAAAATCTTTGACTTTAATCGACTTTAAGTACTTATTGGTTGGTCTGGAAAACGGAAAACTCATTATATATAACATAGACTTTAATCGATGGCATCACGAATATAGCAGCAGATATTAGTGCCTCAAATCTAGTCGTAGTTTATAAACAAATTCAGTATAAAAAATGAATGACAATATATAGACGCTATTCGTTTCATTTAAAGTCTTTAAAAAATCAAATTCATTGTCAATCGAATCGCGAATCAATTGAATATAACTATTATTTTGTAAATTTAATTACAATTTTAATCTTCAGAACTAAATCTGATACTAAGTTTTTACGTGAATTATATGAGTTTTCTCTCATCGAGTGTAACATTTGACTTAATATAAAGAGTATTTAATAATAATTATTATAAATATTTATAAATTATTGATTGATTGATAATTCAAATGATTATTAGCCACTCCTTTGTTAAAGAGGTGTTAATTATTAATATAATTTTGATTCTCTATTAATTAGAGACAATGTCAACGAAAATGCAATTTTTATTTTAAAAAATTCTTTAATAGATTCTAGATTTTAAAGAGACTATAATTATTATTGTATTTATATTATTATTGTATTTATTAAATATTCAGAAGTTTTGGGGTATTTCGGTAAATATAAGGGATTTATAATGTTATTAATAATTTATTAAAAAAAACTAATCTAATTTATATTGATTTTATTAATTATGTTAAATAATTGTTTTAGACATTCCTTTAATTAAAATGTAATTTTTCTGATACTATTGCAGTTTTGCGTCCAATAAAAATAAAATTAACTTTAAATCTATCGATGTTTATACTTCTAATGTTTTTATATAATAATAAACATACTGTATATCTACCGGTAATTAGAAAATATCTCAAATTTAATAAACCACTTAATATCACCCAAATATACCTCAATATAATGTATAATAATTATAGAATTGTTATCATTGAAAACTGAGTTATTTATTAAAATTAATAAAAATATCAAAATATATTTACAATAAAATATTTAGCAAATAAATAAAGATCTAAAGTTTGGGAACTAATATCACTGGTTTATACCATTGTTTTGTTGGTTAGATTCGGGTGAATAAAGTAGTGAGAGGTTATCACTCGGAACAGAAAAACCTTCAACCGTTTGGAAGCCTTTGTTGTCAATATCTTTGATCAAAATATTTGATGAAATGTATTTACAGGTGACTATATCGACAATAGTGTTGGCAATACTACTAATTAGACCAGAGATGGCATAAATTCCGCCAACAATACCACACAAACGGATCATAAACTTCCAAATGGGAACATATTCTTCAACAACTTTGGCGCAAATGGCGTCGATATCATACTTGAAGTAAATACCGGGCATTCCATGGCTTCCAGAGCTGTGATCAATTACTCGTTCACTTTCAGTGGTCGAGTATTGATATGTCTTTAGATTCAAATCAGATGTCTGAACATCAGTGGACATCACTTTAACATAATAATTGTATAATTGGGTCCCTGAAGTCAAAACAATTAAATTTAGAATAAATTGTAAGAAACAAATGGATTTAATACTTGATTGTGTGATCTTTTCTTCGCCTTCCAACGGATTTATAATACTCGGAACGTATTCACCGAATGATAATCTTTCGATACGATGACTAAAATTGTATTCTTTAATTAAAAAATAGCAAAAATAGTACTTAATTTCATCAATGATTTGAAGAGTTAATGTATAAGACCTGATTCACTGGTAAACAATGAGATGTGTGCGTGTCCTAAGGGCATCGGTAGGTGTTTGCCGACAGTTATGTGAAAATTTCCTGAAACTTTGTTCACTACAAGAGTTCCGTGAAGACGACATGCATCGGGAGGACCGATTGGCTGGATTTCACGGGAAGGCAAATCGCGATCGTATTTACGTTGACTAATGACATCAGACTTCCACAAGACTTCTTGAAGAGAGTGGTGTTCGTTACGTAAGTAATTGTTAACTTCTCTTATGAGAGTCCACTGCGATCTCTGTGCGGGACTTAACGCAAAGTATGTCTGCTCTTCAACGAGTCGACCATAAGTATAGGCATTGTTAGTGTTAGTCGAGTCCAGGATATCGGCGCCAATGCCTTAAGAATCAGAATAATATATTTAATTAAAATTATGGATCAAATCAATTGATGTCTTACTTTCGCAACTCATGGCAACTGTTATATCAATATTTATATTTAATTTACTGTCGAAATAAATAAAATATATTATAATAATTGTTTTAATTAATTGATTGAGAAATATATAACAAAAACCTATCAAAGTCTGTGTCCACGGAATACAAGAATTTGATTTTTGATTTGAAAAACATTGAAATCTCGAAGACAACCAAAATGACAATTAATATGTAACTCAAGAGTGAGACTAAAACAAACAATAAAATACCAAATAAGTGGTCAACTCTTTTGTGTTGATTGTTATCACTACAGACCAGTTCCGCCGGTTGTCGTCGCTTTAGTGAAGTTGTGGTCAACTTTAGTGAATGCGTCCAATTCGGTGATCGACCGCTGACTCGAAATCAAACGACGAATTAATGTCATCTTTGATTGTCTTAACTGATCTCAAATGCAATCAATTAATTGATGAGTTGTCCACTCGTTTGCCAAATGAAGACAAACACAAACTCTTCATTCAATTGACTGATCATTGAGTTTGAGTGACGACAACAATGACTCATAAATTACGACAAAAAAGTGATTTCAAATCAATTGACAATTATTTTAGAAATCATTTATTTATTAACAAAATTATTCACAAATATTAACATAAAAACCATTTATTTATTTAAGAAATTGTTTGAAAAATTGATTTAAATTTTTTGAATTATTTTTTAGTTTTATGAATAACAGCTTTCGCTTCGTTCTTGGATTTCACTAATTTTACTAAATATTTATATCTTTCGATACAATCAGTTCGCGATCGGTTTGGTATACATTTTGAGATCAGATCCCATCTCTCAGTTCCCAGAGATGAAGGATATGTTTTCATCGCCTGTTCCAAGAGCTGCTGTTCTTCATTATTCCACGGATTAGCATTCAATTCAACGAAAGTACGCGGAGCTGATTATACCAACAAATTAAAGTTTACAGTAATTTACAATTTATCGATAATTTAAAACATCTTTTCATACATACCATCAAACCTCTGACTGGGAGCCGATTCTTCACATTTCTTAGTTTGTTGCGATTCTTCTAATTTTTTGTACGCATTTTTGTTAGTCTCTTCTCTAAGAGTTTGTGATTTATCTGAAACAAAACAATCATTATTTGATGGGAAAAAATTTCGGTAAATAAAATCAATCAATAGTTTTATACCTGTGTTCTGAAGTTCTTTTGCTTTGCTTATAACGTCGCGATGATTGCGAGTCACACCTGAAGTTGATTTATCGGTAACCCATTTAGCAATAACTGCGTATCGATCAGAAGTTCCGGCGGGAAATAATTTGATAGCTTTTATAAGTAGCTGAATGTCATCATAACTCCAGTTCTTCTTTGAGGAACCGGTAGCTGACTGTCCATTCGTCGAGTTTTGTCCTGAAATCAGAACATTTCTTTCGGAATCCAATTTTGAATTCAATGATTCAATTTGTTTATAGAAAAAATTTCTCTTCGATTCTTCACAATCTAATCGTTCAAATTCTTGTCTAAATGTTTGCAATTCTTCTAAATTAAATATTTTAACCATTTTATCAAATTCTTGTAAATAAAAGACACGTTTTTCATCGTTTTCAGCAAAATAGTCAAACTTATCAAACATTGCTTCCAATAGTTTGCGTTCTTTTCTGATTTGTTTTTTAATGGCTTCCTTCTGTTTCTTCTCTTCTTCTCTCTTGGCTTTCAATTGATTTTCTTTTTCTAATTTCTCTAACCTTTCTTTATCTTCTTTTTCCTTTTTGACTCTTTCTTCTTCTAATTGTTTTTGTCTAATTATCTCTTGTTTCGCTAATTTTTGATTTAATTTCCTTTGTTTTTCTTCTTCTTTATATTTACTAATTCTTGGATCGCATTGATAAGCGTTATCCACGAGTTGTCTTAATCGTTGCATTTCTTCCTTTTTCCTCTGAGCTCTGGCAGCTTTGTTCTGCTTCTCCATCCAACGTCTCTCTTCACGATTTTCTCCCTTTTCTTTTTCTTCTTCATCCAAATACGAGTACTCTCTCCACGAATCAAAGTCATACCAAAAGTTATAAAAATTGTTGACATTAGACATATCGGAATCAATAGTTCCCAAATCTGGAACCGGTTGTTTGTTTGACCATCTGTTGACAAAAAAAAATTAATAAATTAAACAATTACTACAATTATAATAAAACTAAACAATACCTCGAATTTAACTTAAAAACTGGTCTAAAAACTTGAATAAAATGAGACTTATTATAGGCATTAACTGATGGTATCTCGTCATCAAAAGTCGGATCAATGCTATCATAAGAACGTCTCTTCACGGGATCGCCTAATATTTCATAACCTCTTGTAATACAAGAATAGTAGTCGAGGTCTAAATCAATAGCTATTCCAGTGGCCGACGATCTCTTGTCGGGATGATGTTTGAGGACAAGTTTGCGATCTATTCGTCACAAAATAAGTTAAAATATCGTTAAATAATTTACAATTCATTCAATACATACAATGTTTCTTAATTTCATCATTGGTTGCAAAGAACCGTTTGGTGATATTGAAAATCTTGTAGTGGTCTTGATTTTTCCAGTCTTTTGGATCCAAACCAATCAAATACTGTTCACTTGTGTCTTGTGATGCAAACAAGCAATTGATATCAATGAGACCCAAACGCTTCAATAGTTTGCTTAACCATTCATCGTAAGCCTCGATCTTAACCAAAGACATCTCTATTGGACACCAATCACATCAATAAGCGTTAAGTCATTTTCATCAACAAAAAAATTAAACAAATAAACCTTTTATGCGAGACATCGTTAAAACTTCTTAATGACAACCAATTGATATAAACAAATACAATCAAATCAAATGTCAATTAAATAAATGAAAACATTTTTATTAAAATATCATATAATTTGGTATTTCATTGAAAAACATTGCATTCATTCAAACAACACATCGAAAGCATGAGTTTTACTCTATTATTGAAGTCATAAATATTGTTATAAATATTGTCTTCAATTTATATGTGTTTGACATTTAGCTAAACATTAAAAACATATTTAACATTAATTTTATATTATATTTTTAAAGATTATATTTATATTATTTTTAATACAATACTAATACAATTTCATTTTTATAAAACTAATATATTTAAACTATTAAATTAATTAAAATTATTTATAATTTAATTTACTGTTAATAACTTTGAAATACGGGTTCATTAATGTATTGAACGTTATTATTGGCAAACATATGATTGAAGTGTTGAAAGTAAATCTATAATACAATAATTCATTTGATTTCAAGTGTTAATTGAATTGAATTGAATTTAATGAAGATTTTTGATGAAAATGTTGAAACCGTTGACAAAATTTGTTAATAATAACTCATTTACTGTTCATTTGTTATATTCATTGATTATAAGACTTTTGTTGATAATATTGAGTGAAATTCAAGACAAAGTGTTGACTTTGAAGTATACGGACATTGATTATCAGGTTTACACCGATGGCTCCCGATATGTCTGGTCGGGTGAATCACCATTCAATAGACTGACCTATCGGTACACACCATTGATTGCCTTTCTTCTGGTACCAAACATAACACTTTTCGGCCAATTCGGCAAAATATTGTTTGCCGTATTGGATGTAATAACGGGAGGATTGATTTATTCAGTTTGTGGCCATTATGTGGACAAACGTCGGGCCAAAATATGTGCGGCCGTATGGCTGTACAATCCATTGCCAGCCATTATATCGACGCGTGGAAGCGCTGAAGCAGTTATCACAACTCTAGTCTTATTAACCCTTAAATGTGTAGTCAATGGCCAACTAGTCTTTGCCGGTCTTGTCTATGGTTTTGCCATTCATTTCAAACTTTATCCAATTATTTATTTTCCGACATTTTATTTATATTTAACTAAAAGTGATAAACTTTGGAAATCTTTGAAACCAAATATAAAGAAAATGACATTTTTTACATTTACTTTAATTGGATTTATTGTTCCCACTTATTGGTCATACCATATGTACGGACAGTTATATCTGGACGAGGGATGGCTCTATCATTTGCATCGCAAGGATCCGCAACACAACTTCAGTCCGTATTTCTATATCTATCATATCATCAAAAGTGAAGACAAACACAAATTGTTGTCTTATATGGCATTCATTCCGCAAATGTTATCCGTTTTATTGTTATCTTTCTATTATTGTCTTAACTCTAAACACAAAACCCAAGATCTCATGTTTGGTATCTTCGCTCAAACAGCTGTTTTCGTGACACTGAATAAAGTGATTACTTCTCAATACTTCTTATGGTATTTCAGTCTTTTGCCGCTCAGTTGGCCATACATTGAATTATCGGCTAAAAAGTGGTTATTTATGCTCATTGTATGGCTCTTAAGTCAGGCTCAATGGCTATTACCGGCCTATTTGTATGAGTTTGAGGACTGGCAGTGTCTTCAATGGGTTTGGACCGCCAGTTGTATGTTTGTGGCCTTAAATTTAGTATTACTTATAACTATTGTTTCAGTTTATAAATGCAGTGATAAAAAGCAAAAGAAAAGAGATTAAATTTTCCGGATTATTGTATTACCAGAAATAATATCTTAAAAAACAATTGTCACAAACATTTTGAATCGTTGACCAAAAATGTATTTTAATTAAGTTATAATTTGATATTTTATTGTGTACTCTATTTATATTAATGACTAAATAGATATTAATTAATATAATTATTTAAATAAATACTTATTATTTTAAATAAATACTTATTATTTTTAATAAATACTTTTACGAATAAAATACTAAAAAACAATTATTAAATTTTCCGCATTTTATGTTATATTTGTTATTATTTTTATCAAAAATAATGTCATTTAATGTTTGTTTATCTCTAATATATATGTATTGTCTTTAATGAAGGTTTTGTTGAAAGCGACTAAATGTATGGCAAATGAATGCAAACATTATTAATGAATACAAAGTTTGGTAAAAATGTTTGAAAAGTAAAATGAATTCTCAATTTTGTTACACTATTTGTCTAACAATTAATGCAAAGACTGGTAATGAGGGGCGCATTGATAGTCTTGGAGGGCATCGACAGAGTCGGCAAAAGTACACAAACTATACGACTTAAGGAAGCACTCGACACAAGACAAGTGACCGCTCAGGTGATGACTTTTCCTAACCGATTGACACCAATCGGCCAAATGATCAATGAATATCTTAAAGGCGACAAACATTTGACTGATGAGGTCATTCATCTGTTGTTTTCTGCTAATCGATGGGAACTGAGAGAAGAGATGTTGCGGTTGTTGTCTTGTGGCACAACTCTGATCGTCGATCGGTACGCCTTCTCCGGTGTCGCCTATTCTGCGGCTAAACCTTCGCTGAACTTTGAATGGTGTCGACAGTCAGATAAAGGTCTTCCGCGACCCGATTCTGTGCTATATTTGACAGCTAATGAAGATATCATTTCATCGAGAAGTGGTTTTGGCGATGAAAGGTATGAAACAAAAGCTTTTCAACAAATAGTTAAACAAAACTATGAAAACCTTAGAGAAGACTATTGGGAAGTATGTCTTGATTTATAACCATTTTATCAAAATGTTTGACTATTTTTTACCTTAAATTATGTCGTATTTTAAGATAATTAATGCCAATAAAAATGGTGACGAAGTACACAAAGAACTTCTGGATTCAGTGTTAAAAACAATTGAAAGAGTGACCAATTCTGGTGATAATAATATCAAGAAATTATGGATCGATTAAAATATTGAGTAAATATTTTCAATAAACTATTTTTTTAAGAAAATAATTTTTATTTTAAGTTTTGATTTTTAAATCGATTGCACAAAAAAATGTTTTCATTTAAAGTTATAAAATACAATAAAAACAGTAAATATATATAAATATAATTCTAAATAAATTAATGTTTTTTCCATTCAGTCAATACATGATATGAATGAATTGGTTATTAATAAATCTAACAAACGTTAAACTATTTCGAAGTAAATAACGAATTGTAAAATTCAGACTCAGGTAACAAAAGTCTATATTTGTTAACAATTTCTTGAATCTTCAGTCTTCTCTTGACATGAGGTGGTTGGAAGCTATTGGTGACAAACAATCAATCAATATAAACATATTTTGTCAAACAGTAATCATATATACCTTTCAGTATCGAGGCGTCGACGTCGGCATACATTCAGAGCTGCCAATCGGACAAATGTACCCAAAATGTGTTTACTGACAACCATACCATCGATTAGGGGTAAAGTGATTGGAGTTCTGTATAAATTGTTAATACAATGTATTTATATATTTTTACAGAAATTGCTTTAATAATATTTAAGCTAACCGTCCTCCCGATCCCTGTAGAATAATCCTGAAAAGTCCGTTCTTTAGCGGATGAATAAGTATAAGGACGAAGTCTTTCCAAAGACTTAGATTAGACTCGACTCCAGTGCCAGTCGTTAAAAGTAAAGAATCTGAAATAAATGATTAATTATTGAAAGAATATATCAATTAATAATAGATTACTAACTGATAGGTAGATCGTAGTGATCGTCAGTGCTTTCCATCCAAAATATAAGTACTTTGACATCACATCCGACGTTATGAAGCAATTGATTTCGAAATTTCCTTCTCAGACTATTTCTTGTCGATTCGTTTTCTGTTATATTCTTCGATGTATTACTTCCATCATCACTAAGACTCGATACAGATCTTGTGTCTAAATGAAAATCTGCAGTAACTCTCTGTTTATAATCGCCATCAAGTGATTGATTGTCTGAATCTTCCGAAAGCGAAGAAAAACTCGACGGTAATACAAAAACTAATTCATGGCTTACATCAGCCCAATAGAGAACATGTCGTTTAGCATCAAATACACAATTCTTTTCGTGATCTTTGACATTACAATCTTGTATTATCTTCCAAGCGGTTGAAATATGTCCCGTCCATCCCGAATGATTCTTAACGTCGACAACAGAACCCAAAGATAATACAAAACTTTTAAATTGATTGTTTGAAATGATTTGTTGTTTAGTGTCGGCAAGTATTTCATCAGCACTTTTCACTCCTTGTTTTATATAATAAACAAATGCCGTATCACTCGTTCGGTTAGAAATTGAGTCAAGAATTTTCAAATTTGACACAAAATCAGCACTTTTGCTGTTCAATGCAATCAATGATGGAATCATTTGACCCATAGGTGCGTCCTTTTATTATTTAAATATAAAATTAATTATTTAATTATTAATTATAAGTGACTTTAAAATTGTGTGATACTATCAAACCTGCAATGTTTCAAATGAAAGGAAACTGAAGTGCGAGAGTATGAGTCTGGCCGCTTCGGTCTCTGTTGATGGCATCGGTTCCTTACACTCTAAGCTTCTGTTAGCTAATGGTATTTTATGAGCCCTTTGTTTCTCATATTTCATATGATTTTCAACTCTTTCAATAAGACTTGTCATAATATCCCGATCCGAACGAAATTCTGGCGATTCGGCAATCATTTTGGTTAGATTTGGGACAAAGCTATCGCTTAATATTTGAAAAAAAAGTTATAATACGTTCAAATCTAAACAAATATTATAAGAAATGCTTACAATTTTGTAGATTTTATTTTATCTAATGATTCAGGAAATTGACGGACTGTTTGGCCCAATATATTAGTCATTGAATCGGGTTTAGGTAGAGGTCGAGCAACCACTTCATTATAAGTTTTCATATTGTGTTTTCGGGACAGTTGTCTAAACGTGAAAGACCAGCAATATTTACCAAATGGAGATCTGATTATACAAACAGTTTGTTTATCATTTGGTTCCAAGATATCCAAAATTGCAATCATTATGAGATTATCGCTAACAAAGTACTTGAACCGATCGCAAGCAGATTCAGGCGATAAATTTTTACCGATTGATAAATATTTCAATAAATTGCATTCATCTAATAAAGTTGAACCTATTATTGATTCCGGTGGGCACGGAGTCGGTGGACAATTATTAAAGTGATTCATAAGTAAAGTGAGCAATGACTCAGCGGCCTCCCTGACCCTCATTGAGGCCGGTTTTAATGGTTTGTCTGCTTTAAAAACAAATCCATTTTTCTTGGACTTTGATCCAGAAATTCCTAATTCGATTACTTCTAATAACATAGAAATACAGTCTTTCTCTCTAAGGAGGTGTGAGTGTTGATGAAACCAAACGGCCAGACATTGATAAGCGGCGACAATAGTGGAATGTAAGTCTTTTGAATGGAATGGCGCCGGCTTTTCGCACTGACTCTCAATAAAAGCATATATCTGTTTAACCGTATCTTTACATTCAAGCAAACAATTCATATGATGTCCATATTTACTATCATTTGATAAATTGATTCGTCCGATAACTGACAGCACTTCGAGTGCAGCCAAAGAAACTTGTGAATCGTATTGACTTTTATCACGACATCGGGCCAACACTTGTCCCACTTGTGACAGCGCCCGACCAAATAAACCCCGAGCTGTGTCTAAATAATAATAAATTTATCATCAAATAGGGATTTATAATTCAGTAATCAATTTAAAAGTATTTCAAGTATTTAATTATAATTTAATTTTAAAATATTGTATTATTAGGATAAATGATTTATATTATTTAAATATCATGCTATTAGTAGAAATTAAGATTTTATATTATAAGCGCATTAATAATCCAAATATTTTTAATACCAGGAATGCCTTTTCCATCGTCTAAATATTGGATATCACTTGACATTAAACTCGATTCACAACTCGTTTGACCAAAAGATAGATTGTGTCCTAAATGAAGTCCCGATGAATCAACTTTTATATACTCTTATAATTTGCCGTTCAATTTATTATAGATAATAACTATTAAAATAAATAAACTAACCGTTCAAAGAGTTTGATCGCATCGATTCAAGACTGCTGTCACTGTTTTCATTTTGATTGAATAATTCATTATTAGAGACATCAGAAACCATTAAAAGAAAACCGCCTAAAAAATATCAATTTTCATAAAATTACAATAAAAATATTGTTATTATAACCGAAATGATAGAAACCTAATATCATTTGAACATTTATTGAGTCGGTTTCACCACAAAGTGCTTGAATTTGAAGATTAATAAGACGAGGACGAAGGGACTGGAATGTTGTCGAAGGGGTCTCACTCAAGGTTTCTGAAACAATCAAATTATTAATATATTTTTATTATACAATAAACCTCATGTATATTACTCTACCTTTAATGGGAAGTTCATTGAAATGCAATGGATATGAAAACAACGATAACAATAATTTAATACACGATCGACGGATTTCAACATCTGGTTTAGTGCTAAATCAGTTCATAAATATTATTATAATTAATAAATCATTCATTAATTGTTTTAATTATTAATAAATACTTTGGCTTCTCTTTAGGGATTAAGTAAATTTCCAACGCTTTTAAATAATGTGGTATTAGTAGACTACCTCCTGGAAGATCCACTTCAAAGATTTTTGTTGAATTTATAAGAATACTTGCTATAAATTGGCGCCGAAAAGTCTAATTATAAATATAATTGTATAGACAAACAAATTTATTAGAAACTAAAATTACAATTTTCACTAAAATTATAATTATTTGTGATAAATAAAATAATAATTACTTCTTTAAGCGATAGTCCAAATTGAAGTGCCAAATGAAATTGTGTTAAATAATTTTTAACCTAAAATTTTTTTTATTTAAATATAAAATTAGTTTATTATTAATGTTTTAATATCATTACCTTTTGAAAGGGTGGATGCGGTTGTTTGTTAAGCATTGTTGATATTTCTTCGTCTGCCTTTTTAAAGCAAAACAGTCGACAGAGTGCCCCAATAGCCTCCGCCTGTCCGGCTTCAAAGCTTTCGGGACCTAATAGTGGTAGAGTCTCAATGAGTAACCGATCAGAAGCTGCAGATTGTTTTCGTTGTAATTCATTTATTTGAGAGAATGATTGACTGCTATTTGAGCGAATCATTTCATTTTCTTTCAGATCGGATCCAAAGAGTGCCGCCTGAAAGAGCCAATCGCCTAATATATCTAATATTGATGTTGACTTTGGTCGAGTTGGTGGCAATATATATTCTGGAACCGTTGGATAAATAATGGTAGGCAAAGGATTGACATTTGGTTCAGCTTTAGTGGTAACCGTGTGTTTTGATGACATTCCTTTGTTTTGTGTTTTATTTATAGTTAATGCGGGAAATGCTGGCTTACGTCGCTCTGGAGGAGTCGGTGGCGGTTGAATGGAACTGATGGCTGAAGACATTGCTAGTGATGTCGACGATTTGTACATCTCTACATCAATCTCTTCAAAAGTAACTGGAATTCCTAAAAATGTATCGACGAGTACTGAAAGTCCTTTCATTGATTTGTAGAAAATATGCGGCAAATTGTTGAGACAGGGATGTTGTCGAGGGTCGACCACATTCTCTGAGGCACAGGCGCTGTGATAAAACCTATCGGTTTTACTAATAATTTCAGGCGAACACAAATCAACGGGATTTCCAATACAATGAAGAAATCGATACCAACATTGTTTAAGTGTCTCTTCATTCATCTCATCTAAAATGACATTTAAATAGTTTTTCTGAAGAGTTGGTGAATTGGCGTTTATATCGTAACTGTTAGGAGACATATGTTTGACTAAACGTAATGTCAAAGAATAGTTGACTCGATTCCAGGTGTCAATCAGTGCCGGTCTGTGTCTCCAACAGCTACTCAAGTGTTGGAATGTCTTCCAGAAGGATGGCGAAGGAAAACAACGACAGCAAGCGATTAACCAAATCTCAAACAAAACATTTATTATACGGTCACTAATTTGAGTACCGATATCATTGGTTTCCACTGGTGGTGATAGTAATGTGTCGTTAATGGCTAATAAAAAAATAAGAAGTGAATCCCAAAATTGTCTGTCCATTAGATTGTGTTCGTCTTGAACTATGTTTTCTATTGTTCGCAATAATCGATGACATAATACTGCCTGACGTTGGATGGCATCCAAAACAACTGCTTCATTGCCAGCGACGGGTCGGGCGATGAATATGTTATAAATGTGTTCTAAGATTTTGCGACAATAGAGGTTCGGGTCGTCTCGGATCGGGAAAGGGATTACCTTGGATTTGGCCAACTGTGGACTCAATGCGTATAACCATTCGCTGTATAGACTGACACAATCGCGGACACAGTCGTGTTGTTCACCTGAAGTCAAGGGTAGTGACAGACCATAACAGATCACTTCCATAATCCAAAGCACATCCCTATCATTCTGGAGAAAATCGTTGTCTTCAGTAGTATTGTTGATGACATTTGTGTTGTTCAACATTTGGGCCAATGGTTTGACACAAGATGTGACCAGAAGTGTGCCATTGATTTGTGGCATTTTGTGCAATACTGAGACCCGACTGGCCTCACACATGTCGACCACCCGAAACACTGACCACTCCGTATACATCGACTTGGATGACGGCATGCCGTTCATTGTGTGACCAATCAATCAACTGATTTAGTGATCAACCAAACTATCGATCAATTGTGGCCACTGTTGACATCCATGTCTTCACATTGTTTTATAATCAATTTGAGCACTCATTTGATTATTTCAATCAATTTGATGAATCACTTGATAAGTGGTATCAATAGATGACATTTAGTTAATTGTTTTCAATAAATATCAATAAAAATCACGTTTTGTTACATTTGTCGTACACTTGAAAGCATATAATAATAATAAATAATAAAATAAATAACAAATTAATTAAAAGTATAACTCATTTGAGTGTTTGTTGTGTTTATATTTCACGTATACAGACGTCAAACATAAATGTGTGGCCAATGTATACAACATTAGACTCATTGATAGGCTTTTAAATGATTACAACTTATGGTAAAAGTAAGGGACGAACAAGTATTACGGTATATACTGTACACTACATTACAGTACATATGTATAACATTATTCAATTAATTATTATTTTCTAAATATATTTATATTATATTTATCATACGGTAATAGACATTAATTTAATATAATTTATTATATATAGTAGTAATATACTGTTAATAGGGTTGCATATTATAAAAATATTTTTATTATTTACTTTAAAGATAATATATGAGATAAAAATAGTGTTTAACTTTATTATTAAATGATAATTGAATAATAAAACAAATATTATTTTAATTTCCTTAAAGGTATGACTTTATTGAAGATTTGGGTCCAATCAAGTAACGAACCATTGGATGCCAACAACATTATCTCAAACACTGTAATCAAATATATTAATAATAATGTGATAAATAAATTGTCGGACAATAAAACAAACCATGATTTACAGCGAGAACTCTTCTTTGAGACATTTCTATGTATTCATCGATAGGAAGTCTTCCAGTTTTACACGACTTCTCGACTGCTAATCGATGACAAAGTCCTTTATGTCGGTTGTGATCAACTAAACCGCCGATTATAAAGACGAAATCATTGGCGTCACAGATAACTTTGGGATCGGGTATTGTATGCTCTGAATCACTCGTCATATAAATTACTTTAGTTTGTTTGTCATCAAACACTTGTGTCCAATGTTTGTCGAGACAAATAGCGTCCCAATTGGTAAATCCCGGTTGACTTTTCTCAAATACTTCTTTAATTTTTGAAGTAATGGATGTAATGTATAGTTGTGTCGGTGATGAAGAGTGTCTATTAACAGCATAACAGCGACCAATCTGTTTAACCAACTTCTTCATGTCTCTCTCATCCATATATTGCTCGAAATGACAATCAATACAAATGCAAACTTTACAGTTGGATGAAGACATTGGTATCAATTGTTTCTTAACGACAACTCTGTTGATTTCAACGCCTTCTTCCCTTAATTTTTTTATTTTCATTTTTTTCTTTTCCTTTTCTTTTTTCCTCATTTCAGGTCTCGATTCTAACCATTTCTGTTGTTTAATCAATCGTTTCATTTTTCTCTTCGATAACTTAGGTGTTGTTGATTCATCAATTTGGACACCAATTGGCGGATCAGATATCTGTGCATCACTTTGATTGGACTCATTATCGACGTGAAGAAAATTTGTTGACATTTGTTTTGATTTACTTTTATAATCACCGATTGGTCACTAAATGTGTATCAAATGTGTTGACAAAAATCATATGTTTTGTCGTTATTTTCTATTCATATAATATTCATCACATGTTTTCAAATTAAAGTGTTTTTGTATTCAATATTTATTTATTATACAAATTGTATTATAAAAACATTAGTTTTCATTTGAAAACATACATTACGTTAGAAGTTATGTGTTATTAAGTGATATCTCTGTTTACTATAAGATTGATTATTCAACTGATGCGGTGATAATTTAGTGATCCTATAAACTAAACTATCATTTGAATAATTAAGTCAATAGTCAGTAAATTTAATGAATTTTAAAGCAGTCGTACCATTGATTATCAATTTATTGCTAACATTTTAACACCTTTTTATAGGACACTCCAAACTGGTCTCTAACAAGACGGACAACTTTTTTTACAAATTATTTCGACAATAATCCAGTTTTGAAATAAATTATAAGCAAACAAATAAAATAATTTATACAATTATTTTTTATAGTTAACATTTTTTTTATTAATACAAATTCTTGTCATTTTTTCATAAAAATTAATTTTAATGACATTAATATTTAAAACGATATAATATTTTAATTAATAATAATTATATGGAATGATAACCAATTGAATAATTATTTTAAACTTTAAATAAACAATCTAATAATATCAATAATATTAATAATAATAAAATATAATAATGTGATGTATAATTTAAAAAATAAAATGATAGTTATAATGATACGTATAGTAAATACGATTATAATTATAAAAGGCACTGATTATTGAGAATCTGTAATATTTAATAATAATAACAATTACATCAATAGCCTAATCACAGTTAGCTATATGTTTGTTGGGGACGGAATCGACATATCTTAAAGTTATTATAATAGATGTATATATTGTATATATATATATAGCTTAATTTGTTATGTATTATAGATGTCATTATTGATTAATTTATTCATTATTTTCTTCGGCAATCGTTTGAAGCTCTTTATTAGGTTTGACTCTGGGATATAACTGTAAATAATAATAATAATTAAGATGGATATACACTAAAATTTTAACGTTAATGTCATACTCCGAGCAAATTTCTGGGTACATATCCTTCCAGGTGCTCATTATTGGTAGCCCACCACCACTCCCGTTCCTGTTCATCGCCTTTCCTCAGTATGACTACCATATCTCCATCTTTAAAGCTGAGTTCGTCAGCATTTTGTGACTCATACTCATAAACACCAAACACTTGTCCGTTGTTGAGAACTCCCAGTTTCTCTTGAATTCCTGTTTCAAACACATCAACGCATCAAATATTAATTGAAAACAAATAAATGAGAAAAACTAACGAACAGTTGTCTTCTTAAAACCCAAGGGTAATAAAATTTAGTTAATAGACTAACCGTAAAGATATTGAGAGCAACCGTCAAAACCTTCCTCTTCCTCTTCACATTTTTCTGCAGCAGTTTCTTCATCAGACAAAGTGGTGGCAAAAATACAGGCGCCTCTCTCTACTAGAAACTTGACCATGGCCAAATTATTACATGATGCAGCACAATGCAATGGTGTCCTAATTTTTAAATACATCAAACAATTAAATTGCAATAATATAAATATATAAATTTAAAATATAAAAATTTCTAATCATCAATGTCATTTATTTTATTTAAAAAATATATTTCTGAAAATCTAGTATATTATGAATTTCTTAGAATTTCAATGTATTATGAAAATTTTGAGATATTGTACCTCCCTGTGCTAACCTACCGATCCTTTATATTGTACATCGAAAGTTCTTATGCTGTATGAGTTATACAGTAGTTATTCATATAATAAATTAAACTAAATCCCAATAAACAGTAGTTGAAAATAAAATATTTGTTATATTTGTTAGTTTTTAAATATCTCTATAAATTAGTTTCATGTATTTTGTTACTGCAAATACCCTATAAACTATAAATGACATATTACATAATATATACTATATATTACTTAATATATTAATAATAAAAAAGAAATTTAAAGTTTTATTTAAAAATTGCAATAATTTATAAAAATATGTATATTAATTATAATACAATGGTATCAAATGCCAAATTATTTAAATAAAAATAACTATCTTTTATCCAAAACAATAAATAAAGCTTACATGTAAAGTACAAATACATTATGCACAGTATATGCATATTAATATTACAATTAAATGTAAAAATGATAATTATGTTAAATATTTAAATTCAAAAATTAAAGCTTTTAATAATATTATTCTATAAAAATATATATTAAACGAAAGTTCAATTTTAAGGAAAATACAGTATTTTTTACTTTTGAATGAAATTTAAAGAGCATTGAAAAGGAAATAAATAATGAGTCGGAAAATAGAGTTTTATTTCGTGTGAATTAATTATTTTTTCAATTTAATGCTAAAAATTACTTTTATTTTCAAACACATTTAGCGCCATATCTGTATAAATACTAAACATAAGACTACAATAATAGGAAAATTCACTTCCCTTTAGTTGATCTCTTTGATGATAATGAATGTCAGCGCAAAAATTAAAAGGATATTCACAAATATTTACACAATTCAACACTTATTAAAATACGGTAACTGGCAATACTAGCTTACAATTAAATATTTAACTTAAAAAACAAATTGTATTTAACCGATTTTTCTAAATTATAAATAAAAATCCTGGTTTATAAATATAAAAAATGTAAATTAAATAAATTACCAAATCATTAAATTTTTTAATATGCATTATAAATCTTTATAAATTAGAAAACAGTATTAAATGTTTAAATCAATCAAAAGTTATCAAGGTAGTTATCATGTATATAGTATAAAGAAGGTAATGTCATTAATTGTATATAATATATAAAATATATATCATTTTAATCCGTATGAATTTTATAGTGAATATACGACTTTAATACTATAATTTTGCTAAATTTCAGATCAACTTAAATATATTTTATATTTTATAAATGTTAGCAATAAATTTGAAAAAATCTTGGTTTATATGGTTTAAAGAAATAGTAAACAATTGATACAAAGCGTAGAAAAATGTATTAAAATTTTTCAAAATACGCTTTTTATGTACAAAACAATGTTCACAAAGATAAGACAATGTCCATAGGAGTCTAGTTATATAACTATTGTATAATAAATAGTACAATATATAAATTAAATTGAATCATTCATAAAGTAATAAATTTGTGTACAAAATAGCAAAGTGTAGCAAAAACGATGAAAGCAATACTACTGTATATTATTATTATATATATATAATTTATATTATACAGTATATACTATATACTGTATTAGTGGTGTTTCATAGCAATAGTTTGGATATAATATATGAATGCCATATACAATGTATATAATGTTTGAGCCAACAGTTTGAGACAATTTAATGAATCGAAAGACACTCGACTGCAATACACATAAATTATATACATTTTTAACGCAAACGCTTTTTGGACAATAAATGACTTTTTGATAACTGAACCGCTATTTACTAGTAATAGTGGTTTCAAATAAAACATTTATTTATTTCAATCATTTTTCGGACCATCAGTTCCCCATAAGTGTAGCTGTCTATAGCGTTAGCAAACAAATGCAATGTCGATGTGATCTAACTTTTCGACACAACGTTTCTCCTAATTAATGACTTTCCTGTTTTTGTTAGTTTCTTTCTCTCAACAATTGGTGACAAATAAATAGTAAGTTTACATTAATCTCTTTGATTAACTAGATTTCAAATAGTTTAAAATGTATATTTCAATAAATTTCTAATTTTTCATTGAATTAATTAAAGTGGTTAACGATAAAAGATATATCAACAGAGATAAAAGTTAGCTTTAAATGAGTACAACAAAAATAATAGAAATAGTGTTTTTGTTAGACATACCATCCATCGCTGTCCTGTGCATTGACATCACATCCATTGTCGACAAGATATATAACAATATCTAAATGACCGGCGCATATGGCGTTATGCAGTGCTGTTATGCCCTCGTCATTAGCAGCACTAGGATTTGGCACCTGTATGTTAATACAACATAACTTATGTCAGTATATATTTAATTATAAATAAATTCAGACAACATATTAAATATTCTGTGTGTAGGAATTGAGTGACAGTTAAGTTGATTATCTAAATGGAAATCTTCATACATAAGCAACACAAACAAACAGCTCTTTAACACAATTTCCTAATAAATAACTGATTTTTAAACGAGAAATTTATGTTTTCATCTATAAGTTAATTTAAGTGACAAACAAATGGATTGAATCTCATTTTACTCATTTAGTTATTACTGCATCAAATAAACATTAGTTTAACGCAAAACATTAAATTAGACTATTATTAGTGATTTTCATTAACTTTAAGATTAACGGTCAGTCATAAAGTGATGTATTTATTGTCATATAAATAGTAAAAACATACTTCTTTGGCAGTTCTCTTGACGAGTTCGAGTTCACCCTCGAGTGCGGCATCCAATAGAAGCGCCAGAGGATCAAAGCTAACTCTTCGTGACACAAGTGGATGCTTTCCATTGCAAGAGCTATTAGTGTCCTCTTTGCGATCCAATTGTTGACATTTGAGGTTCCCTTTGACTCTCTTAGAGCCGATAATATTGGTTACAGACTTATGGCTTTGCAGAACATCTTCAGAATTCGCAGTTTCCGTACAATTATAGTCTTTGTTAGAGATGTTGCTCTCAATCATCGCATTAACGTCTAATCCCTGGCGAATGGTCTCCTCTTTCACATCATTGAGCGGTTGATCTTTGATTAGATTTATATCACTTTCTTGGTCTTTGTCGACAAGTTTATCTAATTTGGTTTGCGTTAAATCGCTTTGAATTTTGTTTGTTATGGCATTCATATGCTTTGAATTGTCTTTAATCAAATCACAAGACAATTGTTGCGATGACTTTACATCTGACTGTGTTTTCATTATCTCTTCACAATTCAACTCCAAGTCAATTGATTTTGTCGTCTCAATGGATACTTGAAGAGCCAATTCCTTCTCGATTTCATTATTTGCCACAACTGGACGTCTCTTATCTTTGTGCCAATCATTTGATAAATTATTTATATTTTTATTGTTGTTTGATATGTTAGTCACAGTTGTGTTAATACTTTTATCATTATTAAGAACAGAGTTTTTCTTTAAACTGAAAGTATTTTCATTTTCATCACTTTTGGAATGAAATGAATTATAATTATCAGAATTATTAGATTTTTTTGTGGTTATCATTGATTTCATGTCATTATTATTTTGTGAAGATAATGAAGAAGATAGTGAAGATAAAGACGAAAGTGTATCAATGGTTGTCGTCTGAGAGACCGTCGATCCGTTCAAATGACAACCATCTGTGATCTCGTTTGATGAGTGATGTGTTTGTTCACTGGTATTATGGTTAGCATAAGATTGGTTCTTATCCTCATAGGAATGGAGAATCAATTGGTTTGGTTGTTGGCAATGGTGTGGCAGCTGTTCATTCATTAATCCTAACTTACCATTCATCGAGCTATATGTCTTGTGAATGGCCAGTGATGTCATAGGAAGTCTAATAAAAACACAAAAACATTATAATTGTAATAATAATAATATTTGTTTCATTATATTTTTAAATATATTAACTCTTAAATCATAAATCATTTTTATATCGCATTCGGCGTTATTAAAAAAAATATTCAAAAATAAAAAACTTTAAAACAACGGAAAAAGCAATTGCTTGGCATTTGAAATATATTATAATTTAAACGGTTATAAATGATATTGATTATTCTATACATACTACAGTTATGTCATAAAATATTACATTATTGAAAATGCTTTTTCATAATATATATCAAAAATATAACAAAATTGATGAAATAACTATTCATAAATATTTTTAAAAATAGTAAACTTTTTTCACATTTTATGTCGCGTACTATTACATTAATGTAAAAATCATAAAATATACTGTATATACGATAACAGAAATCAATATTTGATTGATTGATAAATAAGAAAATGTGATTAAAATTTCAATAAATTGTTTTATAGTATACCCATTAATATTGATAGTAAGTTAAATCAAATTCATATAAACTATTGCTTAATACAAATGTAATTGCGATTATGTCTAATTGTTATATTCACAAATAAAATACTGTATCTATTAACTATAATATCACATTATGTAGTGTAATAATATTAAGCTATATTTAATCACTCATGAATTTATATATTTTGTAACTAAAAACTTAAACATAAATCATTTCAATGTTTCAGATGTATAACATTTGAAAAAACATTTCAGTGATAAATAATTAATCAAACTATGAAATAACAAAACATTTGTAAAATTATAACAAATGTAAGATTTTAATCAAGAATATTATTAATAACTTGTCTAATAATAATAATAAAGTGCTATATTTTGTATTAATATTTAAATAAAATAATAATAAAACTATTATTATTTAAAGAATAACAACTATTAGTTCAATAGTACAGTAGTTTATAATAGATGTAATATACATACCTATTATAGCCAGTATTAGATGGATTTATTGTAGCTTTAGTAGTATTGGTCAATAAATTGTATGGTATTTTGTTGTTATATTTTGTATGTAATGAATAAGCATTGACATCAATTGTGTCGTTATATATTTGAGCATTAGATAAATGATTTGGTGTTTGACGGGGTGGTGGTGTTGGTTTCACCGGTACCGACGGCTTAGGGGGTACTACTGGTTTAGGTTTGGTATTTGGTGGCACTTTAGATAAACTACTAATATGTTGTTGTGATTGACTTTTTATTTGGGTATTTGTTGGCACTGATTGGCTATGAATCACATTTTGGTTTAAATTCAATGAATTAGTTAGTGTTTTATGATTATTATGATTATTATTATTAATAATATGAATATTTTGTTTAATTGATTTGTTATTTATCAATGAACTACTATTTGAATCATTGTTTTTAATAGTGTTAATCATATTTAAATTGACATTTTGGTAGGGATGTTGTGTTGAATTACTGTTATTCATATTATTGTGCATTTGTTGTAATTTGTAAGCAGTTATGCCGTTAATGTTTGGTATGGATGCCCGATCTGATGAACCACTACTTCCTGATGGTGACGGTCTCTCCTCTAATGTTGAACTCATATTGCCTGTCATAGGCTTTGTATTATTAATGTTCGTAATGATAGACACATTACTATTATTGTGATTATTATTATTATTATCGTTATTTAAAAAACTGTTTGCATCGCTTCTATCATTTTGTTGAATCGTTGAAACACTTAACTGATTTGCCACCAAACTTTCATTAAGTCGATAATGTGATTGTTGTTGTAGTTGTCTTATACCAAATTTTGTATTATATGGTAATGTTTGATATTTCGGATCCAATTTGCAACCAATAAAATCTTTATTGACATTAATATGTGATTCAAACTAAACATATAAATAAATAGAAAATATTTAATATATATATACATAAAGAAATCTATTGGCATTGTATAGTATACAGGTATATAAGATACACTAATTTTCTCATTATATAAATATTTTTTAATTTTATAATCTATAAACAATTACAAAAAATATTGAATTACTCAAATAAATGGACAATAATTGTATATATCTTTAACCTTTCGCATCCTAACACATGAAAGTTATCTCAGTTAACCCCCAGTATTGATAAAGTAAAGTTTGACCAACAAGTCATTAAATAACATTTTATTAAAAATAAGTGTCAACTAAACTAAACTCAATCATGTAATTGTAAAAAGATATTTATTTATCGACAAAAATTAAACCAAATATCTTAATTATAGCTTAAATTTATAAATATTTTTTATCCTAATCAGTGCTATTTTCACGGTATAGTCTATACTATAGTCCATATGATCATTGGATACATAAAATTTACATCAATTTATTAAAATCGTTATTAAATAAATTAATATATTATTTAGTAGTTGCTTATTATCTCAAAGACAATATTTTAATTAAATGACTATAATATACAACAACATAAGCCCACACATCACACATACATACACACAGTTATGACACCTAAATTGTCAAACGTATAATAAGGTGTATCCGTTATAATAAACTATTTAATAAACAGCATTGAAAATAATACAAATTTGTCTCTCATTGCCACAACTTTTATAGTAAAAGTATACTTTTCATACAAATATAATGATTATATAAAAAATGTATGCAATTGTGTAATACTATAATAAAAGAGAGTTTGTTTGGTGTCCTACTAATGACTATCTAATTATATTTAATGTCATATTATATGATATGTAATGCAATGTTAATGATTGGTAAATACCTCATTGTTATGGATCCGTTGTGTTTGATCCCTAAGCACAGGCTCGACAGCGGCAATATTCATGTGTGCACTCATTGGTCTTAATGTATTGACTGCATTATGTCGATGTCCAGTGTGACCAACTGAACTCCTCAACAATCCATTGTGAAGGAGTAACTCATTTTCATCTAATCCACAACTATTGGCACGAATTATGTTTGAGTGCATCTGTTGAGACAATTGCTGATTGATTTGTCTTTTTCTGGCTAATCGTTGTTGTAATTCACTGATCCTCATATCCACTCTAATCATATCTGATTGTCTTTGTGTGAGAAGACCCCTCTTGAGCATCAATTGATGACCATTTTGTTCACTTAATTTACTTCTGTAGAGTAACTCTTGTTTAAGTTTGTCTAACTCGACGGTGTGTTTGGCATTAGTGAGTGCATTGATATGATAACTGTTGGAAGTGTTGCCATTAGTTAGTTCATCCAATTGTCTGGTAAGTGCATCAACTTTGGTCAACGCAACCGATAACTCCTTTTCTTTTTCATTAAATAAGGAGCGAATCGATTCCAGTTCTGAACAGATGTTAGCATTGGTTGATCTTTGCTTCAATACCTGTGCTTTCAAAGCATTTAATTGTCTTAATTTGAGCTCTTGTTGAGTGACCGACTCTTTGAGACGCTGGACATTGCGATCGTATTCATGAATGGCATGATTGAGGTGTTGATCACTCTTCAAAAGTTTGAGTCTCTGTTCGCCATTGATTATCATCTGATGAGTTGATTCAATGGTCTGTTGTTGTCTAAGAGCTAATTCCCGCAACTCATACAAACTCATGGCTTCATGTGGTTGAGCCATAACTGCCATTAAATGACACAAACACCACAACACCGTTGTTTAAACTAAAGGTTGTCTCCCGTAATGTTATTGTAAGCACTGGTAAAACAGGTATAAGTCGTATGAGTGTTGGTGTCGACGAAAGCCATTGCAAACACTACACCACTTGTTCACTACCTTTGGATTCACTTTTCAGGTCAAACCACGTATTGAATATCACCTTAAAGTTGTTTCAAACATTTATTACAACAATTAGTACCCGATTGTGGTCACTGATCGATAATAAAAGGTCCGAAACAGTGGTCGGACACACATTGTTTGACATCAAATCTTTGATAAGTTTGTTCACTGTTTGAATGTTTGAACGGCAATGCAATGCATTCACACAATGCATGCTATGCTATGCATAGTATTACCAGTTGTGACAACACATACAACAACTGGTAGTACACAACACAACACAACACTACACATACCGTACAGACTCTGGCAGTTGTGGCTTCAATTGGCAGCACTGACTCTCCCAGTGTCTCCCTATAGCTCCCTCATTGCTCTTTCTCTCCCTCTCTTTAGTAATAGTCTGTCGACGCACTGGTAGTACAACGAAATGTAAGCTTTGGTATGAATTGTATGCCAACCCCTGTTCTGTTGAAAATTGGGTAAAATCTATATAATGTTTTCCTTGGAAACGGACAGCCAATCACTTTTGGCAAAACAGTTGAGAGACGATAGTTAGTCACAAAAATTATTGAAATACCAAATATTATTGCATTATTATTATCATCGAAAGCTAAAACAGGGGTCGACTCGCTTTTTTAAACAGGACTGGCAGGTACTTAGTATTATATACATACATACAAAGTCGGGTCACTGCAGACACAAACGCCAGTCCCGCTCACCCATCAGTGTTATGCTGTCAGGTATTACCAGAATTTGCTTTCGGCTAATAAACTTAACAGTCAGGTATGGTATGACATATCTAACACATTGGCCTTACAAACACTCAGACCTTTTCCTAATTACGGCCACACCATCAGCTCACTGTCCACAGGCATTATTGCCAGTGATGTCGATCATGGAGAGCATCCATCGCAAAGCACCTGCACTTTTAGGCACTCGTCTCCAGATTTTAATTATTTAAAAAAAGATTTCAATAAATAAATGCAATATATTTTATTTGTTGTTAACTAAATCTGTTATTTTTCATTGAATTTTTGTTTTAAACAACTGAAATATATTTGTTTAGAAATTGATTTAATTTTTAGAAATGGTTTATGCAATGCACGCATTCAGACATATGACATGAAAAATAAATTAATGAATAGTCACACAAATAAAATCACATTAAGTAATACCGTATATAAAAAAATTATTTGAATGGAAATCAATAATTTAATAGTTATTGAATTGTAAACATTTTTTTAATAGGAAAGACATTTTCCTTCTCATGTTTTTCCTATTCATTAGTTTTTAATGATTTTGATATTTGTTTTGTTGAAAAGAGAGGTAAGTCAGCAATGAAAAGGCCAGACTAACTACTGGTGAGGACTCGAGTCCATACCAGTGCTCATCGAAGTCATCAAAACATCTATCAAACTCTTGTATTCTTGTATTTCAAGCCAAACGACCTTCAAATTGAATACAAGTCCTACAAGTGCTCACTATTTTCTTAACCGACACATGAAGTACAGTACATAACTTACAAGTGAACCAACACTTAGATTAAAAGCAATGGTTTGACTTGTTTTCAAATTCAATCAATTGGTTACCTCTAATCAAATCATCTTTTTCTATGCTCTCTATAACATAAATGTCTCACAAATATTGGTTTCTAATATAAAGTTAATATATAATTCAATAAATATATATTAATGCTTTTAGAAAATTTGATTTTAAATAATTTATTATATTTTAAAATAATTCAAATAACTCGTTCATATTGTAACTACAGTACTTAAGTTTTTGTTTTTTTTGCTAAGAAAATGTATCACTATGTAATTGAATTTGAATTTTCAATAATATATCTATATTTCAATTTAATTATTATGCTTAAGTCTAACAAAAATGATAATTCAACCAAAAATGCTTAATATCCTTATTTCTCAAATAGCATAATTCATAACTTATAGTTTACAAAGTTTAATCCAAGTTCAAGTAAAAAATTTAAAAAAATTAGGGTTTAAACACCCCGGGGTCTTTTTACCGTATTATACTATAGATCTAAATGTTTATTTGCATTGCCATCTAATCTTAAATCTAAATTAGCAATAAAAGCATTTAAAAGGTATGCAAATAAACTTTAAAAATTTAAATTACAACAAAGAAGTTATTAATTAAAATATATATATATATATTAACGCTTACTAATTTTATTATTATTAGTAATAATATACAAATTGAAATAACACATTCACAATTACAAAGAGTTAAACCATTTATCTCATAAAACATTCCTAAATGATAATAAAAATATCTTTAAAAATGATAAACTGAATCCAAGGTGTTAAATGTTAAAATTCAAAACTGATTTCAAATTATTATTTTATACATATTATTATACACGTATAATATGTTTTTATGTATTTTATCATTTATACTTAAAATAAAACAATTTATATAATTCTTTTATGTTATTTAAAATAATAATAATAATAAATTCTTTTATCTACAATTATGTCATATATTATGACTATATTTGTATTAAATTCAGTGTATTATATGTTAACTTCAGGTGAAATACATATTGCCTTTTGATAGCGTGTAGTGAATAAATAAGTGAATGGCATTACAATTATAGGCGTTGCCCTCAAATAACACATAAAAATTGAGAGAAAATGATTTTCAAATAAATATTATCTTTTTTAAAAAAAAGTTAAAGCAATGTACTGTATATAATATATATACTATGTTGGTGTATGTGTGGTGATGTATAACATATACACTACAAACATGTTTTTAAAAAGTTTTATAAAACTTTTTGTGTGTCAACTCATCAGAAATATCAATCCTTTGAAATGTATTCTTGTTTTTCTCCATTTTTTTCATACACTTATAGCTGGATCTCCGCCTTTGAAGACAAATAGTAGATAAAGACAAAGAGATTCTGTAAGAAACACATGAGTTATTGTTTGATATTTCATTTCTGTCACTTCAAAACAGTGTCTTTTGCTTTTTCGTTCGCGTTGTGAACCAATGGATATATAATATACATCTAAACACCAAAAATAGATAAAAATGACTGAAAAATTTGTTGCTTCACTTCAGCGCATATATAATATTTTTTAATGTTTATAAGCTGAGTATATATATACAGTATATATATATATACTTTTATATTTGTTACATCAAAAACATTTTTTATCAAAACCTCTTAACAAAAATACCAATCAATAATATAGACTTTTTCTAAGAATAAATTTTTATTTTAAGTATTTTGACAATTAAATTGCAACTTATTGTTATTTATAAAGATGTTAGCAATAATTTTAGATTTTATGTATAATGTTTTTGTTAAATTTAAGTTCAGAGAAATAAATAATTGATTTCTTAAAATAAAATAAATAGAAGAAAAACTGATTGATAGCAAAAAATAAATGTTAAAATAATAATAAACTAAAAATTTTGATGTATTTTATTAGGATAGTGTATGAGATGTGAATGCGAATAAGCATTCAAATTAACATTTAAAATTTTATAAAATATTTTACTTATTTACTTAAATTAGTGATATAAATGATTATGACACAATTCTAAAATTTAAATTTATAGTAAAAAACTTGAAACAATTTCAAAATTAATAATTATGCAATACGTAATTTTTATTCAAATGGCTTAAAAATTACAATCAATTTTTGCATTAATATTTTCAATTTATTATCAATGAATTATAAAATTCAAACAAAAAATATCAATCAATTATATATGTTTAGCAAATTAAAAATAAAGAAAACAATAACATTTAAAAAAATAAACATAACAATAATGTTGAGAAATTGTATATACATTTTCTTGTTTATAAAGTTACATTGGATTAGTGTAAAACAATTTGAGGAAATTTAATTGAAGTTAATTGTTTAATAAAATTAATTTTCTATTTATAATAACTATCTGTTGACAAAATAAGACAATTCTTAGTTTATAATAATTACACATTAAATTAAAAATTATTAAAAACATTGAAAAAACATTGTTTTTATTTTTATTAATTAATCTTAAGTAACTAAGTATAATATTTATTCAAATGAAAACATTGAAGACAATCATTAATTATAATTAACGTAAAATGAATGTTAAATACTAATGAGAAAAATATTAAAATAAAGCATATTATGCACATTAATTATAAATATTTTATAAATATTTGTTTAAGTTATAACATAATTTATGATAATAATATTAAATTATATCAATAGCTATAAGAAATTATAGTTTAATAAAAATACAGTATTTAATAATAATAATAATAATAATATAAATATAATTATGAATATTATAGTTGATAATACAAAATATACAATTTATATCAACATTTCTGTTTATTAAATATATTTCAAAAATATATAAAATATAATGTATTGGTCGACAAACAAGTTATGGACGTCAATAGAGATTTGATTATTGATTGAAATACTGTATTATATAATGAATTGCTTTTCTCGATATAAGACTTCTTTTAATAGAAATCTCGTCACGTCTTGAGTTAAGAGGAAAATTCATTTGAACTGATTGTCACCGAGAAATCAGTGATCAGTGAACCTAATCGTAACTTAAGCTCCAATTTTGACTAAATTAAAAAACTATTGACTTCTGTCACTTAATTTTGCTTTATATTAAATACTCTCTCTCTCTCTCTCTCTCTCTCTCTCTCTCTCTCTCTCTCTCTCTCTCTCTCTCTCTCTCTCTCTCTCTCTCTCTCTCTCTCTCTCTCTCTCTCTCTCTCTCTCTAATATATATAAATTGAAATTTTGAAATTGAAGTTAGTTAAAACTCGAGTTAAATTATAATATTGACAATTTAATTAAAATACTACTAAATATTGTATAAATATAAAAAAGTATTTTTTTATATAAATCAAGTAAATAATTTAGTCTATAAAAATTATAGAGTGGCTGAATTAAATTCATTAATCTATTTCTTGAAAATTGATTTGTATTATAATCTAGTGTTTTTTTAATATTTAGATAATTATATTTACTAATATTTTAACTAAATTTATAAACAACTAATTTTATTGAAAAATTTAATTACTAAATAATTTTAGTTTAACATCATAAATAATTTTATTCTTTTGTTAATTAAATTTATGGATAAAACTTTTAAATTTATTTTTTTAGCGAAAATTTATTTTGATTGTGCAAAGTTAATAAAATTTAATTTCAATTTTATATTTTTAGTAGAAAATATATATTGAAAATAAATTATAGTAAATCTATAGTTAATATTTCGATATACATTATAGATTATATGCAAAATATCTATTACATAAAAAGACATAAATCAACAATTGTGGCAAATTATATACGGTATATATAGAAACTTTGAAATAATATTTTTTGGTCAGAAATCACTTATTTTT